TGCCCCCAACGCCAGTTTGAGAGAAGCTTCCGTGGAAGACCTCCGGCAGTCAGAAAATTAAAAGTGGAGATAAAATGCAATACATGAATAAATAAATAAATACATAGTTGAACAGTCTTCATATGCATTTTTCATACGCGCGTATGAAATGGGAAGTAATCTATGCAAATAAATTCATACGTTAAAAATCTCTGTATAAAGACAGAAACGTAAGACCCAACTAAATTTAAAAAGAGGAAACATGAAGAGAAGGACACATAGAAGTCAACGATAGCAAGCTACGAGAAGGAATAAAGTCAAATGAGTTAAAACCTAAACTAAGGCAACACTACTCCGCTACCCTAGTTCTAAGCCTTCATAAATTCAAATGACTAAAACATATAAAAAGTAGAAGTCATGAAAATTACTACAAAGGAATTAAAAGAAGACAGAGATGATACACCCTATTGATGTGATCCGTACCACTCGGCTACCATGGTCTTAAGTCTACATACTTTCCTATCAGAGGTCATGCCCTCAGTAAGGGCTAAATCCTTTAAATCAGATCTCAAGCAGTCTTCCCACTTCCTCCTTGGTAGTTCTCTCCTTCTGGCACCGTCGACTGCAATAAACTCTACCTTCCTGACCGCATCCGACGGTTGTCGCCGAAGGACATGCCCAAACCACCGTAGTCTTCCCTCCCTCAATTTTTCGGATACAAGCACCACCCCCAAGGACATCCTAATAGCAGAGTTTGGTATCATGTGCCACTGAGTCCTACCACATGCCCATCGAAGCATTCTCATTTCTGCGGCCTCCATCCTCCTTATGTGATCCTTCTTGATTGCCCAACATTCTGATCCATACAGTAGCGTTGGTCTTATTGTCATTCTATAAAAAATTTCCTTAAGTTTTAGAGGCACTTTCTTGTCACACAAAACTCCAGTAGCAACCCTCCACTTTAGTTGTCCCGCCTTTATACGGTGTGTAACGTCATCATCTACACCCCCATCTTTATGTATCATAGAGCCTAGGTACTTAAAACAATCCTTTGATGGGAGAACATGTCCTTCTATGCATACTTCTACATCTTTATCGTTTTGGTTCCCACTGAAGTTTGAACATAAATACTCTGTCTTTTCAATATTGATTCTTAGGCCTTTTTCTTCCAAAGCAGTCTTCCATGTAGTCAGTCTACTATTCAGCTCAGTTCTTATTTCTGCAACTAGGACAATGTCGTCAGCGAAAAGCATACACCATGGAACACCGTCTGGTGTCGCACAATAGATGTCGTCCATAATCAAGGCGAAAATGTAAGGGCTAAGAGCCGACCCTTGGTCAATACGCCTTTGAGAGAAAGAAAGAATGGATATTTTACAGTGCTGCTTCCAAGCCATACAGAGGCTTTCGCTCCTACCCACTGCTGCAACCTCAATGCCATTAGGAAAACCACATTTCTTCCTCACTTGTTCCATTCTGAAATTATGTAATTTTGTTTCACTTAAAAAATTAAAGAGGGGCTTGCGTCTCTAATAGAATGTTTGAGACACCTAACCGCTCGGGGTTGCCCCAAACCCCGAACGTTCCATCATAAAGTTTTAATTGTTCACGGCTGGCCTGCTGAGTAAGGTCTGCCGATAAATCATTATTAAGAACCTGAGCAGATTCTTTAGCAACAACAGTTGAAAGTGACTTGTAACATTTTGTGTTGGAGATTGATGTCTGGGTCATTTCCTACTTGGAGCTTCCATTATTGGGTCCTCATCATCCTCCTGGCCTATAACTGTAACATAATCAAATAAAGAAACCGATGAAGATTCTGTAGAAAATAGCCCATTACTGCCTTTCCCCACATTTAAATCTATAACCCTTCATTTTTTTATTAGTTTCCATATTCTGTTGGAGTAAATCAATTGGTGCCTTTGATTGGGGGATTTGACCCACCCCTATTTTTGGATCCGAATTCTCCTTAACTTGTGCAATCTCAGAATTTTTGTTAGGCTGAAAATTTGGAAACTGTTCTCATTTCTAGCCAACCTCCCGCAGCTAGATACTCGTCGGAATAACCGCCTTGTATGGAGGAGCTCGGATGGAAAGGTCCCATCCTATAGGGAGGTCTTTGTCCCCATGATTAGCCCTGATAGGACAGAAGTTTTCCCCATGGCCAAGCTTGCCACATAAGAAACAAAACATGGTTAATTTTTCATATTCGAAACGGACATGATGAACCGTCCCATTCTTCAGAAGCATTTTCTTTCTACGTTTCAAAGATTGTCTAACATCCACTTTAACTTTTATTCTCATAACTCTATTGTGCCTTGTAGCAAATGACTTTGAATCATAATCAACAAAGGATCCGATAAAGTCTCCCAGTGCTTTAGCCATCCTTTCAGTCATCTTGCCCATTGGAATATCATGTACCCGAACCCAATAGTCGACGTAAGCTAAAGGCACTGTCAGGGGGTCTTCCCCCCTCCACCAGCCGATGCAATATCAACAAATGATTATTGAAATTCCAAGGCCCTCCCTTCTCGAGTCTATCTGCATCTACTGCAGTATAAAGCCTAAATAATATTCACTTATCCCGTAAAAACTCATCACCCGCCCACTACCGGCGACGAGTACCACTTTCTAAATTCACACCCACCTATTACCCACTAAATTTATACCCATTCTCATCCCAATTAGAGCAGGTACAGTACGAAATCCACAAAAATGTACTCGTTTGTCATCCCTATCCACGAAGGACTTTTTCTTCAAACACTTAAATATTAATATCGATATCAATTCATAAGTATCAATATCTCAAGGTCAGTATCGATACATAAATCATCAATCGACTAAATTTTTGTGTGACGTTTATTATTTATAAGCTTTGTCTCCAAGCTCTCATATTTTGTTTGTTTTGCAATTCGGTCCTCCGTTGGTTATTGGAATGGGATATTCGTTTAAATAATTTGCTATGTTTTCAATTTGTAAACCCTAAACTTTATGACTCTAGTGGGGATGAGATCTTTGGACGATAACACATATTTAAGTAACATGTAAGGATGTCAAGTAATAAAATAAACTTCAAAAAATTAAATTAAGTAAATGGAATTAGACATCAAGTACAAATAAATGTATAAATACAAGGCACATAGTAAACAATCTATACAATCCATTAGTTCGATAATTATTTAATAAATAATTTCAATCATGGTGACAATCACTTTTATTATATAAGCTAAATAAACGAGTATGAACATAATTTTATATTCATTTAATAAATGAACGAACATGAACAAAGGTGTGCCCAATTAAAGATTAACTTTAGGCTTCTCGAGACCAATAATAGTGGAAAGTTTCAACAACAAAAATCGGGGTTAATAACGAAGGAAATAGAGAAGTCAAATAAGTGAAGAAGGCGAAGAGTGGAGATGATGTCTATGGAGAGTCAAACTGATGGTCTCACATGGCACGTTTGTTGTAACGTGTGATATCAGTATTTTGTCACTCACAGTAACGGTTGTTAACGACGAATTACCGATTTATTATATATTGATAATGTTGAGATCAATTTGTTAGTTTTGAAAGTTTAGCGAAAGAAAACAAAAACTTACTCTTAACATTAGTGATCATTTGTGTAGTTTATTTTTAATGGTCTAATGATCTACTTGTGACGATGAATTAATTGAATGACCCATTTATTATCTTACTAATAATAAGCTGCTTTGTGATGTAATTTACTAATAATGATCTATTTGTGTTCGGGTTAAAAATTTTGAGTTATTTAAGTTGATGAATTTTATTATATAATTTAAATTTTATTTAAATTTTTTTAGTTGATTTATTGGAATTGTGTTTAAATTTAATTATAAATATTTATAATATTTATGATATTATTTGATGTCAATTTAAACAATATTCTATTATTATATACATATACAATGTGTTTTTAAAAAAATCGTATCTTTTATTAGTGATTCACGTAATCATGAAAAATTGAAATACTCGACTTAAATTTGAAAATTAATATATTAATTATTAAAAATTTAAATTATTCAAATTATATTTTATAACTTAATTTAAATTTAAATTTTTTTAATTAAAATAAATTTATAAAATTAAGGATTAAATCAAATTAAATTAAAATTTTAATTTTTGAGTGACCAATTTTGTCCACGCTATTAGCCGCAAACACACCAAGATGGCTTAGTGGCTATCACATGAGAAGCCTCTAACAAAAGCCAAATAATTGACTTTGACTTTAAAGCATTAATATATACTTATTTCTCTTTTAATGTAATGGGTAATTAATCGGATTCAACTTAATATAACTTATTTACATAAAATACCAATAACATATATGAGGTAAGTATAATATAGTATATTTTTTAAGATAACTCTGAACATCTTAATATTGAACGCTCACACCTCTGACGTTCTCGGTGCTCGAACCCGGGCCTTAAGGAACAATAATCATTCATTTACCACGAAAACCACTCGATTCGTGCAACAACATTCTTCGTCCCTTATTTTTAGTGTCGGTGATATTTTAGTGATTAGATTTTTTGTGTGATTGTTTATCAATATACTCGAATCTATTTTGCGAAATAACTTGTAAATTTATTTTGATTCGCTCGTCACTCCGTCATCTCTAAAACATTTAGTTGGATGGAGAGAAAAATAATAATATCAACCATTATTATATTATTACGTATGATGCACAATAAAGTTAAAAGAAAACTTTGATTATTATTGTGTCCTTTTTCTTTATTTTATTTTTACTTTTTTTATAGACATAATCAGTAAAATTCTCTAATAAAATTCAATACAGTTGTTAAAAGAAAATAAAATTGCATGCGATGTTAGTTCCCACAGTGTCACCCTAAATTCACCTTCATTTGCATCATACTCCATTCGTAATAAGCCACGTGTCCAGTAATCCAACCCTAAAACTCGCCCACGCAGCACACAATCCCCGTACCACCACGGTCAAATTATCCCTTAATAAAAGGCACTAAAAATTTAGTCTCTCCAATTCTTCTAAAACCACTGTAAAACAAGAGAGAGAGAGAGATGGAGAATTATCCTTATAATTCTTATCCAGATTCCGGCGACTCATCGCCGCGATCCAGAGAGATCGAGTTTGAGAATCCGCCGCCGTGGGAGGATCCATCTCAGCAGCAACAAAGTTACAAGGCTAAGTTCATGTGCAGCTATGGTGGAAAAATCCATCCTCGGCCTCATGATAATCAGCTATCTTACATCGGCGGTGAGACGAAGATCCTGTCCGTTGATCGGAACATCAAATTCTCCTCCATGATCGCTAAGCTCTCCGCTTTGTGCGGAGGTGGCGACGGCGACGTTTCGTTCAAGTACCAGCTCCCCGGCGAAGACCTCGACTCGCTTATTTCTGTTACCAACGATGATGATCTCGAACACATGATGCACGAATACGATCGGCTTTATCGAGCCTCGGCTAAGCCGGCGAGGATGCGGCTTTTCGTGTTTCCGGCGACTGGTTCCGTGAATTTCGGGAGAGAAGGATCGAAACTGGACCGCGAACGGTTCGTTGATGCTTTGAATTCAGGTCCGACTCACGGTGGTGAAAAAGCCGCTACGATCCCCCAAAGCAAAGTCGATTTCTTGTTTGGACTTGAAAAGGGGATGGCTCCACCTCCGCCGGTCAAAATCCGCGATCATGTGGGGGAACCGGTGATTACGCCGCCGCCTCCGGTTCCGGAAATCCTGGGGACAGATTATAGTTTGAATCCAGGTGAAATTCAAAGACAAATACAAGACCTGCAGAGGCTTCAAATTCGTGATCAAGAACAGATGTATAGGAAGAAAGCTGAAGACGCCGCTGCTTCTATGCCTTACACAGGAGAATACTACGCCCAGAAGTTACCAGAAAAAGTGCCGCCGATGACCGTACAACAGCACGCTCCGGTGACGGCTGGATACTGGCCGGATAAACATATTTCCTCCGGGAGTTTCCAAACAACCATAACGGCAGCTCCAGGCCCACCACATCCGGCGGATAATCCAGTTTACATGATCCCGGCACCAGTTCCAGGACAAGCTCCGGCCACCCTCTACCACGCACCACCACCAGTTCCCGCTCCAGCACCGGCACCTGCACCACCCCAAATGGTTCGACCGGTAACCGGACAAGCCGGTCAAGGCTACTACACCAACGTACTACAGAGAATGCCACAAGAAGTTTACCGGGATCAACCGATCTACAACATGGTGTCGCAACAACCGCCACCTCAACAACCTCCGCCGCCTACGCAACACCACCCCGTGTCGACCATACCACATCAGGCGGTGAGGTCGCCGAGCGGTGGGGTGACAGATGCTGCATACACACACGCGGCAGCGTACGATAGGCCAAATTACTATACTTCGCCGGGGGCCGTCGTGCCACCTCAGTATCAAGGCGTCGGCGTGGCTGTTAGTGGTGAAAAACGGGGCACCGCCGACAACAGTAAAGTGGTATACAAAGTTTCACAAGGTTCAGTTTAATTAAACTTTAATTATGATAGAATTTGCGCTTATATATATATATATATATATTAGTTTTAAATTGCTATTATGTATTACTATGTGAAGTCTAAATCAAAATCTTAGTACTTAACCTTTTTATGTTTTTACGCTATATGAAATTATGAGTTTGTGTTGATATTGTCATGATTTAAATTTCTTGTTAATTTTGCACTTATAGAACGATATCGGTCGTAAAAATAATTATTGTTATTTTTTAAGATTTTAGGTTCGAGTATCAATAATAAAAAAATACATATTAAAAATATTTTTTAAACAGATATTATCTTATATTTATCGATTAATAAAAAATAAATATTAACTTTAAAATTTTGTGAATATCATGAATAAACCTGAATTTTTATTTTCTCCAAGAAAATTCAAGTAATAGCGTGCTGTGCATTTTCTCAGTAACCAAACAAAGAACAATCATCATGTAGAAATAAGAGATGTCATTGACCCCACAAATCACTAAATTTAATTTTACTTAGAGGCAAAAGGAAGAAAAAAGGAAAAAAAAAATAAAGAATGTCATTTTCTTTATCTCAACTCAAAGTTGACATTATTATTATTATTATTATTATTATTATTATTATTATTATTATTATTATTATTATTATTATATTATTATTATTATTATTATTATTATTATTATTATTAAGTGCAAGAGATATGATAACAACATGGGACTTGTCCCTGTTAGCTTACATTATCCTGCACATGCCGTGGCACTTGTTTGTTCGGTTTCTGACTTTAAAAATAATACACATAAAATAACCTTATAATAACCTTATGGGTAAACTATATGGATAGCAGTGAACTTTAGGCGTTGTATCGTTTGTAACGTTGAACTTTCAATTTTTCTAATTATAGTATTGAATTTTAATTTTCGTTTCAATTATATTACTGAATCGTTAAATAGTTAACGACACGATGACGTGGCTGACGGCTATCGACATAGACACGTCACAAAACGATGTCATTTTGATTTGGTTGTTAATGATTTAACGGTCCAGTGGTATAATTGAGACGGAAATCAAAGTTCAATGATATAATTAACAAAATTAAAAATTCAATGATATAAACGATAGACGCCTAAAGTTTAACGGTATCTAGTGTAGCTTATCCTATCGCTATATAGCCTTATTTACTAAGAACTACTATAAATACCCTTCAATTCCAACTAAACAAGTGCTAGAGACGATAAGTTTCACCACATCTCTCATTATGCCTTTAACCCTCTCATTAGATAACACCGGCCAACGATAGTCTTCTCACTAATTACGATTCTTTATTCAAATCAAAAAGAATGAACTGTCTACGAAATTGAATTATTTTCACCAACAATATCATACCTAAAGTTTATAAGAACTTTTTAGGGAAATATTATACCACCAAATCGTCTCCTTTTGCTAGTGTATGGTAAAAAGGTATACCTCACTTTCATTTTATTTATTTACTTTTATTTTTTTGCCCACGATTATGTTTTCTTTCAATTTTCTCGGAACCCAAACACGGCCACATGTTAGCTTTTCAAATCTGTGGGAAGTTCTTATCTTGATAGATTATTATATGCAGATTCGGATTCTGGGTCTTCTTCAAGAACGTTTGACATTTGGGGTGGCACCATCACACCCTCTGGGGGGACCAATTGTCGGAACCACGAAGCATCATATTCTTGGGAGTCCATCAAACTTTCAACACTAACCCCCACAATTTTCAAACATCGACCATGACGTACAAATATTTTTCATAGGTTTCACACACACATTTCTATATTGACAGGACACTAAAATATATGTTTAGATTACATCAAATTAGTATCACAAATTGCAATTTTTTTTATCAAATCCATGGTTTAGACTTGGAATATTTAACCATTTAACTAGGTTAAGATTTAATAAATTGTTGATTAATTTTTTTTAATTCATTTAAAATTTTAAAAAAAATTAGATGTTTATTTAAAATTATAAAAAAACTATATGATTAATCACTTTTGTGTATATTTCTCTTTACTAGATTCAAAAAATACAATATTCAATAATTTTATTTTTATTTAATTAAAACTTGATAATGTTTGTGTAACTTTTTCATTTTTTTTTCTCACTGTCAACAGTTAAAATTTCAGTAACTAAACATTCAATAGTCAACAAATGACCCCTTTTAATTAAATAAAAATAAACAAGATCACTTCTTAATTAAATAAAAATAATCAAATATATTGGAAGATTCATTTTCTCATAATTGTGTATCTACACTATAATCAAGGCCTATGACCACAAATCCAAAAAGACTTTAAGAATTACCTATAAAAATATAAGATGAAAGACAAAATTGAATGTATCGATTATAGAAATTGCAACAACAGGCATTCAAGAAGCAAATATTATATCAACCGAAAGTAGCCTTTCCTTATTTAGGACACTTTTCAGATAAATTAACCTAGTGTTTGAAAGGTCTCTGCCCTCAAATTCCTAATAAATCCAACTCTTTTGGTCATTTAGATACAAAACTGGACATACCATCTCAGAAATAAGGGAAACAACTACGCGAATCATTGGCTGATTGCTCACTTTTTCATCTCTTCGTATTCGGCCTCTTGTGCCTGGTCACCACCACCTTGGGCACCCCCGGAAGAACCACCTTCAGCACCACCGGATGAACCACCAGACATGTGTTCCCCGATCTTCGACACTGCTTTGTTTGCTGCATCGATCTTGGCCTTAATCTCATCCACGTCCTCTCCTTCCATTGCCTTCCTCAAATCCGCAACGGCATCCTCTATCACTTTTGCAACTTCGGCAGGAACCTTGTCTCTGTACTCGTTCAAGCTCTTCTCCACACTGTAAATAGTGGTGTCTGCATTGTTTTTTATATCGATCAGGGCTTTTCTTTGTTGGTCCTTCTGGGCATGCAACTCGGCTTCCTTCACCATCTTATTGATCTCATCCTCTGAGAGACCACCCGATGAACGGATGGTAATCTGTTGTTCTTTCCCAGTGGCCTTATCCTTGGCAGAAACAGTGACAATACCATTGGCATCGATGTCAAAAGTCACTTCAATCTGAGGCATGCCTCTAGGAGCGGGCGGGATGCCGACCAAGTCAAACTCACCCAACGTCTTATTGTCAGCAGCCATTTCACGCTCACCTTGAAGTACCTTAATGCCTACTTGTGTTTGGTTATCAGCTGCAGTGGAGAACACCTGAAAAAATAAAACAAGGAACCCCACCAAACATGAACAACAAAAATAATTAAAATTAATACAATACATGTCTGGAAGCAATTAGACTTCGATTACGCACAAAACAGAACCAAGAAAATTTGTCAACTTATCATGTCCAAAGGATTACTGCCGACTTTATTTCAATATCAAATGTTTCTCGAAGAAAAATGCAAACATTTGCACCAAAGACGCACCTGACTTTTCTTTGTTGGAATGGTGGTGTTCCGGTTGATTAGCCTTGTGAATATACCACCAAGTGTCTCAATACCAAGTGACAAAGGAGTGACATCAAGCAGAAGCAACTCTTTAACATCACCTCGAAGTATACCACCCTGAATTGCTGCTCCCATAGCAACCGCCTCGTCAGGATTGACACCTTTGCTTGGACTCTTTCCAAAGATCCCCAACACTACTTCTTGTACTTTAGGTACACGAGTCATCCCTCCAACAAGAAGAACCTCATGAATATCCTTTGTAGAAATGCCAGCATCCTTCAAACAATTCTTACAAGGAGCCTTGGTCCTCTCAATCAGGTGATTTACCAAAGACTCGAACTTTGATCTGGTCAATGTGATATTCAAGTGTTTTGCCCCAGATGCATCGGCTGTTATAAATGGAAGATTAATTTCAGTCTGCGAAGTTGATGAGAGTTCAATTTTAGCCTTTTCAGCAGCTTCCCGAAGCCTCTGGAGTGCAAGTTTATCCTTTGAAAGATCAATTCCCTCTGTTTTCTTGAATTCGCTCACCAAGAATTCCAGCAAGGCATTGTCAAAGTCTTCTCCTCCCAAGAAAGTATCACCATTTGTTGCTTTGACCTGGATAAAAGATTTAATTCATACAATTGGCCTAATAATGCCTAAAACAAGACCTCTTAGAATAGAAAAAAGATGCGCACCTCAAAGACGCCATTAGAGATCTCCAAAATTGAAATATCAAATGTTCCACCACCAAGATCGAAAACTGCAATGAGACCCTCCTTGTTGTTCATTCCATATGAAAGGGCAGCTGCAGTAGGCTCATTGATTATTCTCTGAACATCAAGGCCTGCAATTCTACCAGCATCCTTAGTTGCTTGTCTCTGAGCATCATTGAAATAAGCTGGAACAGTGATAACAGCATTAGAAACGCTCTTTCCCAGGTAAGCCTCGGCAGTTTCCTTCATCTTGGTCAAAATAAATGCACCAATTTGGCTAGGAGAATATTTCTGCCCATTCGCTTCAACCCAGGCATCTCCATTGGGAGCCCTCACAATCTTGAAAGGAACCATCCCCATTTCCTTTGTTGTCTGGGGATCATCATATCGTCTACCAATCAGACGCTTGGTCCCAAATACTGTATTAGTTGGATTGGTAACTGCCTGACGTTTTGCAGGGGTGCCCACAAGTAACTCTCCCTTTTGGTTGAAGGCAACAACAGATGGTGTGGTCCGTGCACCCTCCGAGTTCTCAATAACCTTGGGATTCTGAATACCATGATAGACTCAATCAGATATAAGCATAGAATAGCTTCACCGTCCAAAGCCAATAACAAAGTCGTAAGCACATCAGCGCACTAGTCTAATTCTTACCTTTCCCTCCATGACAGCAACACAGGAGTTGGTTGTCCCCAAATCAATACCAATAACATCATTGCCTGCAGGTCTTGCACTGCTTCAAAGGAATAACAAGAAAGTTACATTGAGCAATCACAGGTTCACTGCAAAAACAAAATAATGATAATGGCCCAAATCACGGTTACCTGAAAGCTCTTGAAAAACTTGTCCAATTAATTCCGGCTGAGCTCTTGCCATTGCTAGTAAGCTGCACAACAACAAATTAACCATAGACATCATCAATTCCATCCCATTTCATTCAGGTGGGAAAATTACTCAAGTACTGAACAAACTGTAATAATCATTTTCACACGATAGACAATTCTAACGCAAAAATCAGGGAAACACAGTAATTAAGACAAACCCTAAACTAATTTGATCTAAAGAACCACTAGGATAACAATAGTTCTTCCGCTGTAACTACTTTTAGTAACCTTCAGATCAAAAGATGCAAAACTAGGCAAATCTAGATAAATTCCACTTTTCCTCGACTTTGCAGGCAACCAACCAAAGGATGACACCAAGTAACACAGATCAATCAAACGAATCGCCGAAACCGAACTAGAAAAGTTTTAAAGCGCACAGAAAAGGATTGGAAACCTACGCATTTGTAAGCTGATAGAGGTGCAGAGACGGCGTCGCGGCGTCGAAATGAACGAAGCAAAGCTGCCGTAGCCATGGCTGTAACTTGGACGTAGAGCAGAGGAGGATCGGTTTGAAGTTCTTTGTGAAGGATGGTAATGAAATGCGAGTGGGAGAGGTTTACAGGGTTTAGGGTTTTGTATATTCTAATCTTTGGTGAGAGATGGTAGGTTCTAGATTAACAACGAACGTGCTCGGCCGCCCGCCATTCAGTTTCTATTAGAGGCGGTTAGTGAATAATGCCACGTCAACGAAATTCCCGATCTAACGGTTAGCATGAGACCACGTCATTTTCTGTATTCTAATATGGGTAAACTACTTGTATGACCATTTAACTATTACCCCTTTTAATTTTGATAACCGGTATTCTGATTTTATAAATCAAATCACTCAACTATTTAAATCTTCAATTAAAATTTAGCGAAAATGATAATGTGACAGTTAACACCATTAATATAATTATACATTTAATTCTCAGTATTTAAATTTTTTTATTAATTTAATTTTTATTTTTATTTAATTAAAAAATAATAATCTCCAATTTGAATGTGTCACATTTGCTATTAGATTGTAAAATATTTTATATATTTTATTTTAGATTATGACATAATAAAAGAAAATAATAAGAAAACTAATAGGATTCAAACTTAGGACTAACTTAGAGTGAAAGCACCTTAACTGCCAAGGCAAATTACATGCTCAAATAATCATTTCTCACTTAAGTTGACTCTCTCCTGTTTTACTCTCTATACTTTTAATTTCTTTTTAATTTACTTGCTAAATGTTCGATTTGTTACTGTTTTATTCATTTTGAATTATGTTATTATTATTTTGGTATGATGCGACATTTTTATTATTATTTAATATAAAATAATTTAAAATATAAAATAAAAATAGAAGGTGATCTTATTGTTCATTGGCATTGGACACCATCGTCGACGGCCATAGGTGGTGGTCATTCGGTCTTAGATTTCATCGGTCGCTTCGTTTCGACCCCTGAGTCTAATTCTAACCTCTATTTTATCGGAACATGCTCTGAATCTGATCAAAAGTGAGAAAAATGAAATGATGGTGGTCGTTAATCGCCATAGATGGTGGTCGTTTTGTCTTAGATTTCATGGGTTGCTTCGCCTCTGAATCTGACCTCCACTTTGTCATAATATACTTCGAAGTATGTGAATTGAAGTTCGAAAGTGAGGAAACCGAAATGTTTTCGTCGAGACTCCCTTGTTATGGGATATTTTATGGTTAAACAACCACCAAGATTGAACTTATCGTGTCAAAACGAGTCTCTCGATATAAATTGGGATCAAACAATTGTCGGTTCCGAAGGCTAACGGTGAAGAGAGGGAGTGGTTGTCAATGGGGATTGGGATGAAAAAGATGAAGGGTTAAGGTTAGGGATATTATTTTAATATTTATTTTAAATTAATTTTATATTAAACAATAATAAAAATGTCACATCATAGAATAATAATAATAATAATAAATAATTCAAAATTACCAAAACAAGAGTAATTCGAAAGTTTAGTGAATAAACTGAAACAATTAAAAATAAGAGAGAGTGAAAGCTTAGTGAGGAGTTGTGTAGTTTATCCATAAATTATATTTCAAACCCTTAAAAATAATAAAAGTATGATTTAGTCCTAAATGTTATAAAATTGTAAATTATATTTCAACCCCTTAAAAATAATAAAAGTATGATTTAGTCCTAAATGTTATAAAATTGTATTTTGAATCCATAAAGATTTATAATTCAATTTAGACTCCATCATTTCAAAAATTGAAGTGCGTGTTATAGTCGAACTTTAATACTATTACAAACATGTACAATTAAACCATAAACAAAGAACGATACAACATTCAACTGGACATGCCAAAGAAAAGAAGCACCCTCCTAGCCTAAATAAGAGCAAGAAGCAGAAAATTTCCTATTTTCAGTCCGGCGAGATGATGCACCCGGAAAATCTGTACGTTTATCCGATACGATACTCCGCAAACGTGATTGCGGAAAGCACCTAGTCAAATGAGAACCCGATGTTATCGACTTCCATCAACTCCGTCAAATCCTAATGTAACCGCCGCCGTTTTCTTGAATCACACTGCTTCTCTTAAGGAACGATCTCCGGTTATGCGACCAACTTCGTCGCAATGACCGCCTCCGACGCCATGCGGTCAATCGGGAATAGAGAGCGGGGAGAATGAAGCATAGCAGCACTAGAATCAACATTGCTAAACATAGGAACATTACTTTTCGGAAGCCGTCTTTCAATGCAGGGTCCTTTTGCACTGTCCATGGAACTCCTCCCACATTCATTCCAAACACTGCAAAATTCAACACAAACAAGGCAAGGAATTCAATGCAGGCAGATAACATCTAACGATAAATCCGATTCCTAATCATAAGGGGTCGGTAGAGACGAGAATTTCGGATCATAAGGGGTCGGTAGAGACGAGAATTACCTCCGGTTATAACGGACAGAGGAAGGAATATAACGGAAAGGAATGAGAGGTAATAGAGTTTTCTGTTGATTTGCTCCGACTGCCAGCTATCTAAACCGGCCTGAATCGCGGCAACACGGTTTGCTTGAAACCCGACGTTCTCTTTCAACCTCCTCAACCGTCCGATCAGCTCTTCGAGGGCGTTAATGTCTTCACTTGCAAACCAATGTTTCGAACAACATTTTTCCTTCACTCTGGGAAATACTTGCTCCCCATGTGCAATTACCTGCATTTTTCGGAGAATGCATACAAGCAATGCCAGTTCAATTCACATGTTATTCATACGAGTGCAGGCACAAGCTATGGCAAAACTAAAGCAAGCTCAAATTATTAACATGTAGGTTGACAAGGAGACATCATCGATACATCGCCTCGGAATGGCTAAACAGCGTCTTCCCGCCTTTTAACCGTGTCTGTTCCTTGATGGAGGTTCGGAGTTGTTAAAATAGTTCCTCCAAGGCAATGTACAAGGGGGGAAGTCGAAATTACCTGCAGGAGACGTTGCAGATTGAGACTCATTTTCGGGAATCTTCGATCATCGAGCATTTCTTTCCTTAAAGCAAATCCACCTGAGATTAAGCAGAACAATTATTCGAGTTGCGGTTTAAATCGATTCGATTTTTGCAAGCTGATTCTATGTCGAGGAAAGTCCTTTATACCAGTTATGCACATATGAACTTTGAATCCATTGCATGAAAAGCTATAAACCAGTGTCAACATACAAGGAATCATGCAATGTTTATTGCTGATCATAGGGATTGAATTTACCTCGGTCCAATTCGAGCTCAACCGAATCCAAATCCATCTCGAAATTGGTAACAACATCTTGAAGGTGATCGACGTGCGTGTCGACGATGTGAACGACAAGGTTCGAGACCGATTTCGGAACCGGATTATCAGCCTCCTCAGAGTGATTCATTGTCAACAAGAACTCAAGAACATGTTCCCTAATAATAATACCACCCTGCTGCCCCTCTTCTCTACAATTAGGACTTTCGACACTAGGAATCTCCGACAGAAGAGATCGACCGACCGGAGAGAAACCGAGCCTCGGAACACGTCCCAAAGACACGGTGATCACCGAATTCTCGGTAACCCTTGCAGCCAGCCTAACTGTAAAGTTACTGGAAGGTGGACCAGGCGAATTAACCCGAAAGATGAGGGCTCCATCGACATGTCCACAAAAGGGTCCATTGCTAACGAGTGAAAGAATGTCTTGAAGCTTTAACGGCGGACAAAGAACATCGACGAGGTACTGTGCAGATTGTGAGAGCTTCTGTTTCCCTTTTGGAAGCTCAACATGGTACCAACAAAACTGTTTCCCACTACCCTGAGCTAGATCCCATTCCTTGTTGTAATAATTCCCACAACCATCAAACACGTATGATTTTTTTCTCACCATGCCAGGAAAATATGTTCTCTGAACATTATTTTCCATGATTGGGATACTCGAATCCGTTTCCTCCATTTCCCCATCTCCAGCAGGTTGAATCTGAGCTAAATCCATAACTTCAAACCCTTTTGAATTTCGAAAAAGATGAATCTCTTGGCCTAAGCAAGGAAAACCCAGATCAGAATCACCAAACCCCAGTTGAAAACTGCCCAGATAAGAAAGATTCAATCGTTTCCAGAAAACACACAATATTGAACAGTTCAAACTAAGAATATACGTTGGAAAAAATGAAAAGGTCGGCAGAAAACAAGATTAGATTATTTGATTATGGGGAAAAAAGGAACAGATGGTGTTGTCTTGGTAGTGATTTCTCAGAAACTTCATGTCTATAATAATTAAATCAACAAAAAAATAATAAAAAAGGCTGACCAGAAGTGATCACGTTTCTGGTTCAGTCATGATTAGTATATTACTATTATTATCGGTTTTAAATTATCTTTGATGATTTAGGGTTTAGATTTAGGCGAGCAGTTCATCTGTTTTTTGGTTTACCAGAAGATTGATTTGTTAGAACGCAAAATGAATTTGGTAGAGACTTTTTTTGTACTGAATTGTTTGGTTTTTGGGTTGAAAAGTACAGCTTCTGGAGACGTATCATCGTCAACGTACCCAATATTTGAATCAATTAATATAATTCTTCAAAAAAAAGAATCAATTAATATAAGTCGTTATAGTTCAATTGAATTTTAAGATTTTTGAAATGCGATAATAATAAATATCTAATAAAAGATATTTATTCATTTAATTACTATTTTTCGATTAATCTAAGGGGGTGTTTGGATGGGGGAATGTGGGATTTTCATGGGAATGAAATCCACATTCCCCCGTTTGGTTAGCCCCGGAATCTCATTCCCGGTAATGTAAGATTACCAATAGTGAATTTTTTTGGTATATTACCGGGAATGTCATTACCTCTATTTCCTTAGGTATTGTTGGATTACCTGTGTTTTGGACTAAAATGGCCTTAAATTTTTTTTTTTTTCAAAAATATTATTCTTATGTTATTGAATAATAAAAATTCTACGAAAGTTAAATTACAAATTTATCCTTAAATTATTTTAGATTTACAAAAAAAATCTATAATTAAAATTTTATATAAAGTTCAGGGGTTAAAATAAAATTGTACCCTTTCATTAAACCTTTTTTTATATTTTTAATTTTGTAAAAAAATTATATAAATATTTTCCAACTTGTAATATTTTACAAATATATAATAAGGACAATTTGGTCAAATATACATTCCAAAAATCTTTTATTCCTTTAACCAAACACGGTAATCTTACATTCCTGCTAAGCCAACCAAACACAAAATACAACATTCCCAGTAATCATATTCCCTGGTAATCTTACATTCTCAATGATAATCTTACATTCCGTGAACCAAACGCACCATAAGGTGTTTAGAAGTTGTAGTATTTATTCTCAAAACTCTCACATATTTGATAATGAATATTCAAACACCTTAAGGTGTGTTTGGTTCACGGAATGTAAGATTATCAGTGGGAATAAAAGATTACCAGGGAATAGGATTACCGGTAGGGATGGTAAACGGGCGGATCAGGTGCGGATACTCCATCCCTCATCCCCACCTAATATTTTTAAATCCACCACCCAACCACCACCCATGATGGGTAAAATTTTCCAAATCCACATCCATCCACACGAGTACATTATCAAATTCATCCCTACACCCACTACCCAACTGGAGACGTACCCAGCTAGACCCGCTTGACATCATATATCTTATACAATATTCAGATTTATAAATTAGTCTCTAAAATTATACCTAAATTCATAATAATCCAAAAATTTAATGGGTATTTAATGGGCGGATGCAGGGCGAGGGGATGCGGGGCGGGTAATGTCTCAAACCCATCACCCGCTCACTACCCGCAATGGGTACCACTTTCTAAATCCACACCCGCCCACTATCTACTAAAGTTATACCCATCCCCGCCCCAATTGGAGCGGGTACGATGCGAAATCCATGAAATTATACCCGTTTGCCATCCTTAATTACTAGGAATGTTGTATTTTGTGTTTGGTTGGTTTAGCAGGAATGTAAGATTACAGTGTTTGGTTAAAGGAATAAAAGATTATTGGAATGTATATTTTACCAAATTGTCCTTATTATATATTTGTTTTTTAACAAGTTTAATTATACTATAATATTACTATAATTAATTTATATATTTTCTTTAAAAAAATTAAATTCATAAAATTTATATAATTTTTTTTACAAAATTGAAAAGATAAATAGGTTTAATGAAAGGGTAAAATTTTATTTTAATCCTTGAACTTCATATAAAATTTTAATTATAGATTTTTTTTTAAATCTAAAATAGTTTAAGGATAAATTTGTAATTTAACCTTCGTAGAATTTTTATTATTCAACGACAGAAGAATGATATTTTTGGGGGGGGAATTTAAGGGCGTTTTAGTCCAAAACGCCGGTAATCCAACAATACCTAAGAGAAGGGGGTAATCACATTCCCGGTAATATACCCCAAAATACTACTGTTGATAATAAAATATTATCGGGGGCTGAGAATGTTGATCAACCAAACGGGGGAATGAGAATTTCATTCCCTCGGTAATAAGATATGATGTGAACCAAACAGCCCCTTATAGTCTTTTGGTGCTTGAGCCTGAGACGTCTAAGAATAACAATCATTCTTTTAACTATTGAGATAACTTAATCCGTACAAATCATTTACTTATTCAAATAACGTTAATCTAGTTATATATCATTAATATTTGATGGAGAAATTAACGTGTTAATTATTTAAATAATGTTAATCCGTACAAATTAATGTGTTAAATGAGTGCATTTTTAATTTTTATTTAATTAACTTGCATCAAATTAATTAAGTATTGGAGTCAAAAAGTTGAATTTATTAAACTCTTTTAATCAATTTTAACAGTTAAGTCCTAACGATTTTTTCAGTTATCATTGTCACATGATATATTGTGATCATCAATTTTGAAAAAGTTATATCCTGATCACTTTTTTTTTCGCATGCCTTATTTTAATCACCGACGGGCCAAACGGCTAAATGATCGACTACCACAACCAGCTAAACGACTGATTACAATGATTGACCAAAGGGATTTAAGGGGTTGGGTATTTGGGATTTTAGGGATTGAAGTGTAGGGATTTAAGAATTTTGGGTTTTAAAATGATAGAAGGGTTATGATCAGTCAATGGGTGGTCGGAGACGTATGGGTGGTTGGTCGCTGATGGATGGATGACCGGCGGTTGGAGTAGAGGGAACTAGAATAAGAGATTTTAAGAATTTGTCGTTATTTTTTAGATTTTAGTTGTTTATGTTTTTAAATTAACTTTTTAAAAATATATCAATGTGACACATACCACTTAATTGGATTTTTTAATTATCATTACGGTCGGGACACTTAAAATGTTAATATTTATAATGTTACACATGATGAATTGAAAAAAAAATTAAGGACATATTTGAAAAAAATGGTATAGTTTTGGACCTAATATAACATTTAAATTCAACCAAAATCTCTCATCACCAACGAACATTGGATCTCAATATTTTAATTTCATTCCTTTTTTGACCTCATAATGCAAATAGAATATTTATTTCACTATAAAAATTCTCCGTACTTCATAAATATTACTTAGAACTCTTCGAATTCATTTTATAATTAAACCATAATAATACTTTCACAATTAATATTCATTAAAAATAAAACCACTAAAAACTTAAACGTGCATTATAATTAAATCTATAATTTTTTGTATATAATATTATTATATTATAATTCATAAGTTTAATTAATTTAGCAATACTACAAAGTACAAACTGTAACAAAATAAATCTATGTGAGAGGAGGAAATTTAAGTAAATTTAATCATTATATCTCAATAAACAAAGCTGTTAATTTGTTTAAATCCAACAAATAATACTGCTACTAACACTTATAGTTAGGGTTGGGCATAAGATCCGAACCTGACGGTGTCCGACCCGATCGGGTCAGGTTTTTTTATTAAAAAAATAAGTTCGGGTCGGGTCGGATTTTTTAAATGTGATGGTCGGGTTGGGTTTTGGGTGAAAAATATCCGACCCAAAAAATATATATAATTTTACCTTATATATTTAGAAATAATTACAATAATATCCCTCTATATATTATTGTTTTCAATTAAGTCACTATTTTTATTGAATAAAAATAATATTTTTATTATTATTTTGGGTCGGGTCGCGTTTTTAAGTTACATATGGGATCGGGTGAAATCTTGTTTTGGTCGGGTCAAATAAGATATTGGGTGGAGGATTCTTTGTTCTCGGGTCGGGTCGGGTGGGCCAAAAACCCGACCGATGCTCATCCCTACTTACGGTATTACTAATAACAAAACAATAAAACAATTTCTTTATACACAATTACCCTATAATAAAAAAAAATGAGGGACAGTGGCCCCCGGGACCAAGCTCCCAACATTTAAATGGATTCTATCCATCTTGAACCTGTCCCAAACATGGCCCGTCCTCGAGTCTACTCGACCCAAACTAACTAGAGAGCTATGGAAACGAGCAATGGAAGGAGAACAAGATATTGATAACACTCGCAGGAAAATCGATGAGAAAAATAAACAAATAAAAAATTAAAGTGACCACTCATGTAATTTACCGTTGTTTTATTATAAGAATCCAGACTGAGTGAAAGACAATGGTTTGTGAACATTGACCAAGTCCCTGAAAGGAGAAAACTTTAATACATGAAGAAACTACAACCAAACTTCCAGGAATGAGTATTAATTTCTTTCTTTCCAATCAAAATTCCCCGATAAATATTAGTGTATGATACTGGTTACCATCACTTACCAACTACCATGTAATGAGGATGAATACAAAAAAATATTAGAATTGCTACTGTGTCTGTGTTCCTCTTCTTCCTTCAAACCTTTTTTCCCAAGAAAACACAGAGAAAAAAGAAATGGCTTTGGTGGGCGAAGCATTTCTCTCGGCTTCCATTGAAGTTTTGCTTGATCGGATTGTTTCTTCCGATGTTTCCAACTTTATCAGGGGAAAGAAGGAACTCCAAGCTGTGCTTCTCAACAAACTGAAGCCTACCTTGATGTCGGTGAAAGTGTTGCTGGATGATGCTGAAACGAAGCAGATTACCAACCCAAATGTCCGAAGTTGGATTCTTGAGCTCAAAGATGCTGTTTATGATGCGGAGGACCTGCTTGATGAGATTGCAACTCAAGCTCTTCGACGCAAGATGGAATCCCATGATCAGACTACTGCTGTAGTGCAGGTAACTTCCTTTTTCTCTTCTTTGATTCCTTTCAAAGATGGGATGGTGTCGAATCTGAAGGAGATCCTTGGGAGGTTAGAGTATCTAATCAACCAAGCACACATCCTGCGTTTGGAAGTAAATTGTGGGAGAGAAAAGGCATTTCAAAGATGATGCAGGGGATCGAGACAGATGATGTTGAGGTGTTGAAATACCATATGTTTTAGTCTTTTGGCCATAACTTTAGCTACAGGTGTCAGAATCGCGCATAAGATCCCAATCCGGAAAGCTCTTTTCGACGCGTACGCTCTCCACGTTGAGCTACGCTCCATGTGACCTTTTTTTCAACCTCAAATTCTGTCGTTTTGTCCTCCGAATCACTAGAATTAGATATTTTTTTACTATTTATGGTAATATTTCGATTGTCAATTAGGAATTCAATTTAAATCCGATTTAGGCTGGATTTTTTTGAGATTACTTATTTTTTTTTCGAATTTCAATTTAGAGTGATTTTCGGGATTTTGTTATTTTTGACAAAATTCGAATAAAGACGATTTTTGACTATAACAGTCCGGTGTTTGAAAGTAAATTGTGGGAGAGAAAAGGCATTTCAAAGACCACCTGCAACTTCTATGGTGGATGAGTCTGCTGTCTATGGCAGAGATGGTGAAAAAGAAGAAATATTGAGGTTGTTGAACCCTCAAAATCCCACCGAATATCCTATAGACGTCATTCCCATTGTGGGTATGGGTGGTCTGGGAAAGACCACCCTTGCTCAATTGATCTACAACGACTCAAGGGTGGATGACTGGTTTGACATCAAAGCATGGGTTTGTGTTTCTGAAGAATTTGATGCTTTCAGTGTCACCAAAACCCTTCTTGAAATGATTACTCGTAGCAGCGACGATAGCCAGAGCTTAAATCAGCTTCAGCTTCAACTAAAAGAGAAGCTGTCGGGAAAGAAATTTCTATTCGTTTTGGACGATGTTTGGAATGAAAATTATGTTGACTGGTAGGAGCTCAGAATTCCTTTCAATTATGGGGCACAAAACAGTAAGATCATTGTAACAACACGTAATGAAAGTGTTACCTATGTTATGAAGACTGTTCCAACTTATCGTCTTGAAACTTTATCCGGTGATGATTGCTGGAAGCTATTTGCAAGGCATGCATTTGTTGGTACAAACCCAGGCAATCATCCAAAGCTGAAGGCCACAGGTGAAGCAATTGTTAGAAGATGTGACGGTCTCCCTCTGGCTGCAAAAACTCTCGGAGGTCTCTTACGTTGCAAACTAGACGCTGCTGAATGGAACAAAATATTACATAGCAATTTTTGGGACATACCAAATGATGTGAGCAATATTCTTCCTGCACTGAGATTGAGTTATTATCATCTTCCCTCCCATTTGAAGCGTTGTTTTGCGTATTGTTCAATTTTTCCGAAAGACTATGAATTCCAAAAGGATGAACTTATTCGCTTATGGATGGCCGAAGGTCTTTTAGATTGTCCCGGAGACAATGGCGATCTGGAAGAACAAGGTAACGAGTACTTCAAAGATCTGACATTGAGGTCGTTTTTTCAACAATCCAAAGGGAGGAAATCTTGTTTCATCATGCACGATCTTATCAGTGACTTGGCTAAATCTGTCACGAGAGAATTTATTTGTAGATTAGAAGGTAGTGGTGGTTCTTCTGAAATAACCGAAAAGACTCATCATTTGTCCAATGTCCGAGAACGATATGATTTGAGAAAGAAATTCGAGACTGTACCTAAAGCAAAAGCTCTGCGTACATTCCTAACTGTTGGACCAGCATGGCAATGGCGTCCATGTGTTACCAATGATCTAATGCGTGATTTGTTGGTGAAGTCAAGCTTACGGGTTCTTTCTTTTGCTAGGTATTTCAATATCAATGAATTGCCGGAAGAAGTTGGTAATTTGAAGCATTTGCGGAATTTGGATCTCTCAGAAACATCAATGAAAAGGTTGCCAAACTCTTTGAGTGCATTGTTTAATTTACAGACCTTAACATTGTTTTACTGCAGCAAACTTATTGAGTTGCCAAAAGACATGAGGAGATTGGTGAACATGCATTATCTTGATATTAGGGGAACACGTTTATCAAGGATGCCAGAGGGATTCGGTGAGTTGAAAGATCTTCGAATATTAACAGATTATGTTTTAGACGATCACAATGGTTCAAGCATTAATGAGTTGGGAAAAGTGAAGCATCTACGTGGAGGAATTGTCATTTCAGGTCTAAAAACTGTTGCACGTGCAGTAGATGCCAAAGATGCCAATTTGAAGGATAAGATGAATCTTGAGGTGTTGGAGTTGATATGGGGTGCAAATAATGATAATTATTCAAAGCATGATAGTGAAGTTCTTGAACAATTGGAGCCTCATTTAAACTTGGAGGGTCTTGTTATTAAAAGTTATAATGGCACGAGATTTCCGGAATGGGTGGGACATTCTTCCTACTCAAACATGGTATCTTTGAGTTTAACAGATTGCAGGTTTTGCCAGTCTTTGCCACCACTTGGGCAATTATCATCTTTGAAATCTCTTTACATTTCTGGGTTCAGTGGAGTGGTTACAGTGGGTGGTGAGTTCTACGGGAATGGACACACTTCGACTATACCATTTGTATCTCTTGAAACCTTATGCTTTGAGAAAATGTCAGAGTGGGAAGTATGGTTATGTGGGAGTGATGATGAAGCATTCCCCCTTCTGCAAGATCTACGCATTAGTGATTGTCCGAAGCTAACCAAGTCTCTTCCCAAAGATCTCCATTCTTTAAAGAAACTTGTGATTAAGCATTGTGGAAATCTTGGAGGTGTTCTTCCCATGGCACCAAGTGCCTGTGAACTCGAGTTAGGTGGATGTGATGCATTACAATTGGAGCCATTGCCTTGCGGACTTCGAAAGTTGCGAATTGGAGGTTCAACTATGAATGATTCCATGTTGGAACATATTTTGCAACAATGCACTCATCTCGACGAGTTACTAATGTGGGATTGTTCTGATATCAGATCCCTTCCAGAAGTTCTTGTGTCTATGACGCTGAAGCAATTGGACATCCGAAGGTGCGAAGTCTTGGATTATTCGAAAATATTATTGTATACATCCCTTGAATCCTTGAATATGGAGGGCAGTAAGTGTCATCCAATTGTAGAATTATGCTTGCCACTAGGATCGTTTCCTTTGCTGAAACGTGTTTCTATAAGGAGATGTGAAGACATGAAGTTTATTGGTGCTTTAGGAGGCGCTCATCGCCAGCATCCAGCATGTCTCGATTCTTTGACTATCGCATCATGCCTAAACTTGATATCGTTGGGAATTGAAGATGGATTATGTGTCACCAATTTGACCCGACTTTGGCTTTGGGATTGCATAGGTTTAAAGTCATTACCGGAGCAAATGAAGTCAGTCTTTCCATCCCTGGTGTCGTTAGAAATAGAAAATTGTCCAGAAATAGAATCGGTTCCAAAAGCGGGTTTGCCCTCCAAATTAAAAGAAATCAGAATCTTTGGGAGTGATAAACTAGTTGGGAGCTTGATCTGTGGGAAAAGGGAATGGAGTTTGCAAAGGCTCCCTTCACTTTCGTATTTCTGTTTCTCAGGTCAAGAGTTGGACATGGAATGTTTTCCGGATGAACTTACGTTACCCTCTTCTCTTGAATCTCTGTCTGTCAATAATCTTCAAAATCTGGAGCGTTTCGATTACAGGGGCCTTCAACACCTCACCTCTCTTTCTCAGTTGAATATCAACAACTGTCCGAAGCTTCGGTCTGCGCCGGAAAAGATGCCCCTTCCCTCTCTGTCTCGCTTGTCCATTCGAGGCTGTCCGTTGCTGAAGGAACATTGGCGAAAGGAGAAAGTCGGAGATTGGTCCAACATTTCCCACATCCCTCACATTATAATTGACGGCCATCACTTCATGTAGAACGGCAAGGATAGACTGAGTTGTGCATGCTGTATTCTTTACCTGAGAGCCATTCTCACACTGCTGATTCTTTAAGCTGAAGCACTGTGGATTCTAATCTCCATGCCAAATAATGGTGGTGGTTGTTTGATTCCGTTTCCAAGACCCACCTCCATTGTCAAAATCAGTCTTTCTGTTCATCAGGCTCCAACATAAGACCCTAATACAATGACATTTTCCAGCAAATTTTAACAGGATTAACATTTCCTGTTAAATAGAATCACATTTTTCTACGGCTCTGATCGTGTTCCTCCTAAGTTGATCGAACCCACCATCAGACCACGACCAGCACTGAGATGGAGTTATCATTATCTTCCGTCACATTTGAAAAGTTGTTTTGTGGTTTGTTCAATTTTTCCTAAAGACTATGAGTTTGAAAAGTAAGAACTTATTCGCTTATGGATGGCCGAAGGTCTTCTAGAGTTTCCCAGAGGCAATAGTTATGTAGAAGAACAAGATAACGACGGAGAATTTATTTGCAGATTAGAAGATAGTGGTGGTTCTTCTGAAATAACCGAAAGGACTCGTCATTCATCCAATGTCCGAGAAGACTACGATTTGAGAAAGAAGTTTGAGATTGTACCTAAAGCAAAAGCTCAGCGTACATTCCTAACTCTCGAATCATCATGGCCTTGGAATTCATATGTTATCAATGATCTAATGCATGATTTGTTGGTGAAGTCAAGCTTACGGGTTCTTTCTTTGGCCGGGCATGTCAATATAGATGAATTGCCAGAGGAAGTTGGTAATTTGAAGCATTTGCGGAATTTGGATCTTTCAAAAACATCAATTACAAGGTTACCAAACTCTGAGTGTACATTGTATAATTTGCAGACCTTAGCATTGTTTAAGTGCAACAAACTTGTTGAGTTGCCAGAAGACATGAGGAGATTGGTGAACATGCATTATCTTGATATTAGGAGAACACGCACAGGGAGGATGCCAAAGGGATTGGGTGAGTTGAAAGATCTTTGAATATTAACATATTATGTTTTAGGGTTTAATAAAAGATAAACAGATTATGTTTTAGGGGACCACAATGGTTCAAGCATTCATGAGTTGGAAAGCTGAAGCATTTACGTGGAAGACTTGTCATTTCTGGTCTAGAAACTGTTGCACGTGCAGTGGATGCCAAGGATGCCAGCTTGAAGAACAAGATGAATCTTAAGATGTTGGAGTTGATATGAAAATGAGAAATTATTTCATAAACCTTTTTCACCACCATATCCATATCCATAGTCTTCAACAGGGGCGGAGCTCCCTTAAGGCTCAAAGGGGCCTGACCCTTGTAAAATTATTTTATGTTTGATAGATTTTGATATAATATTATTTTGGTTAATGTAAAACTAAATATTTAAATTAAAAAATATAAGAATTTGTTAGATATTTAATCAAGTCGGGGCGAACTAAAGAATGATAATTCAATACCAACAATCGCCTTTGCATTACCTAATCCGAATTAGTTGACAAATAAATTGAAAATTGATGATTATACAAAAAAAATGAATGATAATTCAATGTTCTCAATGCTCCGGTGGTAGCAAGGGCTGCGGAGCTTTGAAACCGAGGACATCAATAGCCAGCGTTAACGATGGGCGGGCAAAATAGTCTGGGTGAGCACAAGCCAGCCCAACTAAGAGCAGTCGTTTCACTCGATCAGTGTCGTAATTGCCGTACAATCGTGAATCTGCACCATCTAAAAGACTGTTTTTCCCTCACAGTTCCGGAATCCAATCCACCAGCTTTGTCTTGAATTTCTTATCCTCCCTTTCGGTTACAACAATGGTGCCAAAGCCGTATATGTTGGATTCCTTAATGGCTATGTATTTGCCGAGATACTCGGAGGCTATATAAATTTCATCCACTGACATAATATTCTGCGCCTCTCCGTTAACAGATGGCTTTGCCTGATGCTGATGCTGATGCTGATGCATTAGATTCAGACACTATGCCAACCGTGCTTGGGGTTAAATGTGAAACTGATGTTACCATCATCAGTTGATGCAGCCTTTGAACCATTAAGTAAACCAAAAGATGGATGATGTGAAGAGGAACGCTGGTTTTTCGACACAAATTCTCAGCATTTTCAGACCGACTTTGACGCATAATTTTCAGACCGTCTTTGACGCATAATTTTCAGACTGTCTTTAACGCATACAATACAAAGCCATAACGGAATCCAACATATGGCTTCATCATTTTTAGGCTTGTCTGTCTCAAGGCCGAGCAGCCGCCTAGAACGGTTCCCTGTTCATTTGGAATGTGCTTATATATAGCTTTCAATACACCCGGCTAGTCCTGTTTTCAGAGCCAAGCTTGAGCGTAAGTTGTTCGACCCTTGTCTTGATAAGGAAAAACATGCATGTATGGATCCTCTCTTTTTTGCATCAAGAAATTCTGATATAGAATAGTTCAAGGTATAAGGGCTTATATGAAAACAACAAGAGTATAAGGACTTGTTCAACAAAAGTAAACTAGTTCAAGGGCTCTTTTAGTAGTTAAGAAACAAAAAAACGGAGATAATTTACAGTGTGATTTTGAAGCTCATAAGCTAAGGCCATTCCAAAGCCTGGATTTCACTGGTCCTAACTCCCAACTATGATCATTTGGATCTTATCAACCTATGGTGGCTATGAGGATTCCAATAGGGTTGTAATTTCAGAATTTATTGGATGCTACGATATAATTACTAGATCGATCGATATCCAAAGAAAACAGTACTTCCTGAAAGACTGAATGGTTTTCTTCTCGCCGGATCTTACGAAGCTTCGTGGTGACTTCTCCAGAGTCGATACTCAGAACCAATAAGTAAGAAGTTGAAATATAAGCTAGAATCTCTTCCCTTCTTTGTCGCTCTACAGTTCAGTGAGACGTATCATGTTGAACTGCAAATTACACAGAAAGAAGGGAGCTTTCAATACTGAATATTTACAGAAATGGCGAAGAAATCTAACAAAAATGGTACCATTAATCTGATTATTCTTCACAGCACAAATCGATACCAAACTTACGAATAACAATCATCGTAAGAGCATGTGAATCAAGTTCCGCTATCGAGATGGATGGATCATCCAATTAATATAGATAATGTCGTTTACGTAGTCATGCACACACAAAAACAACGCATTTATATACAGTGTATAATGAAAGTTATGCGCCCATATCTGCATGCAACAATATCTATTATTTAGCTACAGTTTGAAGCCATTTATTGAGGTTCAAAGCAACATTATGGGAACTTCAATAATCTCTTTTATCCTTCACGAATAGAGAACAGCAAGCATGACTGGACCAGGAAGGAGGTAGCAAAATCAGAAATTTACTTGATCAACATGACCTGAATACAGAAATTAGTTCACAAAACATGGCACGTGATCGATTTTACACACTATAATTGATGCCACATGCCTCAACGAAGTTCACATGAAGAAGGTATTAGAGCGTTTAGGAAAATTATCACGTTCAAACCATATTTAATGTGATTACTAGATAAGTTTCTTACATATCTTTGCAGTGAGGAAGTACTTACCCCGTGTTATTTGAACCAAAGATAAACATGCTCAAATACTATGTACAACAGACTATTGTTGAAGCCTTAGGCGATTAAAGAATACCAAGAATTGATATTCAGGGGCCCAATATACAAATCCAACTACGGGCCCTCCTTTGATGCACTGTTCAAATTAGCAAGTCAGAATATCAGACGATCAGTAACCATTTGACAATAAAAGACATCAAATCAAACACGCGAACAAAACAAGAGACAAACCTTTCCATCAAGAATAACAAGTTCGCCATCAACCCATCGAGGATTTCGAAAGCCTGGCTCAGCAAGCCGCCCCTGTCCTTTATATCGAGCAACCTGAGTTGAAAATAAGACCACGGAACCTTCTTATCATTTGAAGCAGGTATCAAAGATAAAACTTCAAAAGTTATATAAAAAATTCAAGCTTTACAAGTTATCAATGTTCACTAAAAAAAATGTACCACTCCGAATTCTTCAGGAATTATCCCATTATGTGGGAGCTGATATCTTTTACCAACTCTGGCACGAAATGCCACCTGCAGATATTCCAAGGTTTTAGGAGACAAACCAAATAAAAATAGATGCACTGCAAAGATTTTATTTTTTTTGATAGAAATAGGAAGCCTCGTTAAAAACAGATGCACTGCAAAGATATTCATATACACAACCAAGAAACATACATGGGGAAGGTAGGGAAGTACAACTAAGTTAAAGACGATAATGACTCAGCTGCATTCACATCCAAGCATAATTAGGCAATGCAAAACTAAATGATATACTTTGATAGCTCCAGAGTGCTTCTGATCATAAGAGAGTTAAATTAAATAATGAAATCACCTGGCCTGCTGGTACATAAGGATCTCCAGTTAATTTTACCGCCTCCACATATTCATAAAATTCAAGATCTAAAGGCTCCTTAGTCCCACTATCCCCTTGCCACTGACCAAATTTGCGCTTAAGATGAATGACTTCTGAAGTGTAAAGCCCATGTGTCCCGATATATAATCCTGATCAAACAAGCATACTGTAAATACAATAATTCTATGATACATGTGAATAACCATGATGACAAAACATACAGAGCAGAGAATTGCATAATGTAGCCTAAACACAAACACACACACACACACACACACACACACAGAGAGAGCGAGAGAGAGAGAGAGAATAAATGATCATTTCATAAAAGCATCAGCGAACATCAACAATGGTGTTACAAATTACCATTTAGGGGATCAGGTGATGCTGCAGTCTCAATGCGACGGAAAGTGGTAGATCCAGATAGCGGTTGACGATTTTGAGCTTGATTCAGAGTAACATTTATCAATTCACCAACATCTTTGAGCACCTGCATGGTTGAAAACTAGAAATTAGTTAACAAACCAAGCATCCAATGGAAGAAACTTAAACGGAAAATGGCATGTAGAACACGATTTCATCAGATATTTATCTAATATATTGGACTAACCTTCAAAGGTATCTTCTCCCTGCCGAAAAATTTAGCAAGATCGAACATTATTTCATCTGCACTGCGTTGACCTGGAAGCTTTGCTTTTCTATCCGTCACACCCTTTTTCTTGAGACTGGTTTCTTGTTGGTTTATGTCCTTTTCTATAGAAAATGAAAACATTAGGCGCCCATTTTTCACTAGTTTAGCGGGCACTCGAAGTGATTCTATTGCAGGAACACTGCTGGAAAGTTTTTGTACAAGACCACCAACAACAACTTTAACTGCAATTTCACCTCGCCTGTCACTATCAATAACTCCACTATTGGCATCCATCTCAATTTGATCTCTGTCTTGGTCACCATCACTCTTAGTTTCATCATCCACTTCTATGCTTTCAACCTCGGCACCTTTTTCTTCATCTTCTTCATCTATTATCTGCTCAATTACCTTGGATATAAAATCTGGGTCTACTTTCCCAGGTGCAGTAACTTCCACAACCTTGACCTTTGCACCAGGAATCATATCTCGTAATACATTTTGGAAACCAGTTAGTCCCTCACCCTCATCAGATTCATCATCTTCATTATCATCTTCTTCATCAACACCATCTTCAGTACTGACAACAAAAAGATCAGTTTTGTCTTTGGTGGGGTCTGATGGAGCCAAGCGGCTGGGGACTCCAGATGTTTTTGGAGGCACCGTTGAAGAATCTTGGAAAACTCTTCTCCTTTTCAAATACACGGCCTGAAAACACCAAATAAGATTACATTTATGAAACATTAAACGCTACTGCAAATTTAAAATCACAAATGCAGAATAAGGTGCCTGGAACACACAAGGGTATTATTAAATACATTTCCAAGAACAGAATCATTTTCATTCTTTTTAAGCTTGCTACAAGTAACAAGCATGTCGATGGCTCACTGAACTAATGCCTCTCAGAACTAGGCCTGCATAATAATCTAATAAGCATTGGTCAATTCAATTGATGACATTGGGTTAGATATTTAATAGCTTCAATAAAGGATCACCAAGACAAAAAATGCCAGATGAATTATAATTATCAGATCCATGCACACAACTATAGAGCATCCAGGTTTTCCGTCAACTTATCAGATAAATTTACTGTCAAATAAAATATTTACAATTCAAACATCAGAAACAACACAGACATGGGGAAAGAATAACAGAAACAAATGATACCTGTTGTTTGTATTCACCTTTCTTATTTATAGTAAGAAAGATCTCAAACAAAGGTATACCAGCTGAGGCGGTAGAGAGCTGCCTGAAAGAAAAGAGATTCAGACAAACAGTGTCGGAAACAATCAATCAAAATCACAAACCGATAATTACAAGCAAGAAGTATAACAGAACCGGAGCCACTGCAAAAAATGTAAACAAGAAATGCTCCATAAAAGAGCTGAACTGAAATAGTAGCACAAGTGCAGACCAGCATACCAATGATCAATTATACATCCAAAACAAGGGAGTGATTACCTAGGACTAAAACTCCTGGCGACATATCTACCATGTTCGGCAGTAATTCGTATAATTAGACCGTAAGGATCTTTGGCATCATTAGGAAGACCAGCCCACCATCCAACCTGGAATCCAGAACCATAAAAACCAAACAATTTATACTTATTCACTAAAAGAAGTGTCTACTTTTTTTCTTTCATTCTAAAGAAACACAAAAAAGGGTTAACATACTAATCCAGCACCAGCATTATCTCTTAAAAATGCAGCATCCATGAAACGTTCTTCCATTACTGCTCTCTGAAGTCACAAGAAAACAGGTCAGAAAGAAAAAGGGGGAACTCCATCTTTTTTTTTCCTTTAAAAAAAGGGTTAATAAAATGAAAAGAAATCGAATTTGTACATTTAAATGTGATATGACTCTACCAACAGTATCGTTCCTAGATGCAGCTGCAATTGCAACCTTTAACCTAGCAGCATCCTCATAATCTTCTCTACGCACAGCTTCATTTAATTGCGTCTGTTCAAAGAGAAAACGCCATCAAAACTTGAAATTGAAGTCTCCCAATCAAAAAAAAGGCATAAATTCGTGAAATACCTTTAAAAGGGAGACGAGACGTTCCTGTTCATCGACTTGATCGAAATGCATTTTCCACCGATCCCAATCCCAATCACGATCGTCCTCTTCTTGTTTCCCCTCAACGGCGTCGTTCACAGCATCTCCGGCGGCGGTGGGTTGTTTCCTGAAAGGGTTCACGTAGGAATAGAATCGCTTGACGGTGTTCTGGAACACGTCTTGAATTGCGGAGTCCCATCTCCAGTTAACGGAATTCCCATTGGAATCGCCGTTAGAGCAGCGGCAAAGAGTGGAATGGGGGAACCTCATGGAGGTGGAAGCAGGGTGAAAGAAGGGTGTTTTGAAGGAAGGGAAATGGTGGGTCGAGAAAGTGAGACTGGGAGGCGTTGGAGATCGAATTGAAGCCATCGAAAAGAGAGAAAGAAACTGAAAGTTAACAATGGCCGCCTACTTCCATGCTATTTTCCTCTGCTACGAAATCAAAAGGACAAATCTTTGTGGGTAATTGCTGGAATGGGTGGTAGGCAATTCGGAGCTCAGATAAAGCTATGTTTTTTATTTTGCTGTTTCCAGGCTTCAGTTGCTTTGGAATAAATATTTTATAATTAACACTTGACACTTGGCCACATCCATATCCATATCTATTAAAACACATATATTTAATAGGGTAAATTAAGTATTTAGTATTTAGACTATCAATTTTAATCTGTTTTAATATATAAATTTTTAATTTTTTTTTAAATCATACCTAACATTTATTTTTTTTATTTTAGTATCAGTCGTTAAAAACTTAAAGAACCATCTCATCAGTTATCGCATCTATAGTAGTCGATCGTCCTATCTGTCGTTCGATGAAATCTAAACTTTCTAGATAGCACCTTTCTGACTCCCTAAACGTAATTTTGGCCTCGGTCTCATCAGAAAATTCTTCAATCTCCCAAAATCGATGGATTCTTTAATTTTTTTCATTCTTCGATCTCTGTCGTCAACCGTCAGATGAGTCTGAAACTGGATTATATTGGTCGACTCATCACTATCTCGTGTTCCACTATTCGGATTGGTCATCCGTCCACCGGAGTTATGCCATGTCAGCCCATCCGTTAAGTTTTTAACAGCGGATACTAAAACGAAACAAAAAAAACTAAAATTATGTATATTTTGAAGAAAAAAATTAAAAGTTTAGATACTAAAATGAACCAAAACTAATAGTTTAGATATTAAATGGGTAGTTTACCCTTTTAATCTCTATTCTTTTGGTTTAATAATTAAATTAATAGTTTAATAAATAGACTTGTTTCAAAAGATCATATGACATTTTAAAAAAAGTTTAATAAATAAGATTAAAAAATTAATTTAATGAATATTTTTAAAATATTAAATAATTTAATTTAACTAAAGCTATTTAATGGCGTTATGAAATATATTGTCACTAAAGTTTATTACATGATGCCAATACCTAAAGAAACTTTGTGGCCGACTGTTTATCATCTTCACCTACACGATGACCGGCGTCGAAATGTCATTCGGACAGAATACGATATTCGAATCCGTTTGTCGATGGGATCAGAAATGAAACTCCTTTGAAAGGCTTCATGCTTTCCTGCACTCGTACATGCCTTCGGAACATTTGTGACTGGCTGCTCATCGCGTTCGGACATGCGATCTCCTCCGTCGATCATCGGAACCGGATTTGACGGTCGGATCTGCTCATTGATGGGATAGAGTGGAAATGTGCTTTTTCGAGTACAAATGGAACATGTACTCTAAATGTCATGTACTATGATGCCACTAGACCCTTGAGGACCTTCAACAATACAATCAGAGTAATCTTCATCCGAGTTCTCGGACGATATAGTTGCAACAGTTTCCCCCCATGGGTGGAGGATACCTCAAGATCCATCAAGTTCCCACCTCGTAGCAATCAGAAATCTCCCCCCGAGTCTTTCCGACCTTGTAGACTTGCTGTAGGGGATGCATCAGAGAGTGCAAAATCGTTTACATCAGAATGATCATGACATGTTTCAGCTGAATTGCCAATCTGGTCAATAGCTTGTGCTCCTGGTTCTTGCTCACCGTGGAAGGGTAAAAGGGAGGATGACTATTTATAGATGCTATCAGCTGGCGGTGGACAACAGGATTGCTCCTCCAGGATTCCGTAGATTAACTTCTTGGTACGACCACGTTTCAAAGAAGCCGCAGCAGGAGGAAACCGATTCGCATTAAGCCGAGCCAAATATAATATTAGAAAAGCTGAACACGAAATCCTGTCTACATTTTTCGAATTGAAAAGAGAAAGGGGATTGGAGTTTCCTAAGATGGAAAGGTGATGTACAAGTAAGATAGGATAGCAACAATGCTAAGTTATTTGCAACAGAAGACTAGATTGGCAGCAAGCAGAGACGATCAAGCAGTAATAACGAGTAAAACGGCGAAGTCGAAAACAATGATAAACTTTTTGCAGAAGGAATAACATTATGCAAGTTCAAATATTGAAGAAAACGATCACAGTACTTACAAAGCTGGAGGATTCTGTTATCTTAAAAGGGGAGAAGTTGGTTGGTGCTTGAAGAAGAAAGAGTTCCACGTAATGCAGTAAGAAGAGGCCACAGCCAAATGAATTTTCCTGTTGTGTCAGCTGAATCATAGAGGGGGGAAATATAAATACATGCATGCATACAATCAATTAGTTTTGCAACACGAGCTTGGATACTTTCTAATAAAAGCAGGTCACACGACATGCTAACAGAACAAAAGCATCGTAACTACATATGAATACAATCATGAAGAAATTACCTCTGGAAAGGGTTCTTAAGGCCCCTATGGCTTCCTCTAATTGAATCGATGTGCAAGATGCAAGGAACTTTAAGCAAATTTTCAGTTACATCATCTGCACGACAGCTGAAAAAGGTTGAAGTGGAGACAATCCTAGTTGCTATGATATGCTGAGACACTGAATTACAATCTTGCCTTTGAGTTTACCCACTTCACCAGGATGACAGATGACAATCAAACTCCAATGCAGGATGTCATAGAGATGACAGGAATGAAAATGTAATCCTTTTCAAAGATATCCGCTTTCCTCGTCCATTTATGAACACGTTGATATGCTGATCTGGCTTGACAATCATCAGATAAACCCTTACCCAGATCAGCAAGCTTGCTAAGGAAAAAAAACTATTGAAAAAGTGGAACCTATGTTGCTCCTCGGGTGGAATTTTGTTCTTCAAATATCTGTTAAATGGATCAGAACAAAACATCAGTCCTTTCAAGTCAGGAAACGGAACAAATGCAGAAAAAACACAATAGCTTGGGATCATAAACTAAACATAGGGAAGGTTTCTCATTAACTCCCACAAGGCACTTAGACATCTATCATGATTATGATTTTAATTTAGGGGCTTAGCTGTGGATCTCGAGATGATCATTTGAGTTGTCGATTGTATAAGCCCAGATCACAGTATGAAATGGAACAAATGCAGAAAATAACACAATAGCTTGGGATCATAAACTAAACATAGGGACTGTTAGAAAAAAGAGTTAAACATTTTGAAATAAAAGAGAAAAAGGTTGGTACTCCATAAATGCAGAATAACTACTTAGGCTGAACCAAGAACACATGGTGATAAAAGACGAGAAATGCTTCCAAAGCCATAACCATACCGCACATATATCTTATCTATGAATTCTCAATCTATGAATCCTCAAGGTTGAAGACAAGCACATTCGAGATATAAAATAGGTTAACATTCAGAACATGAAGACGAAAACCAAGCCAAGGTGCCAGCATACAACAACCTTTGCCATTACAACTGTGGCTTTGTGGGCACTGTTAGAAAAAAGAGTTAAACATTTTGAAATAAAAGAGAAAAAAGTTGGTACTCCATAAATGCAGAATAACTACAGAGGCTGAACCAAGAAGACATGGTGATAAAAGACGAGAAATGCTTCCAAAGCCATAACTATACCGCACATATATCTTATCTATGAATCCCCAAGGTTGAAGACAAGCAGAGATATAAAATAGGTTAACATTCAGAACATGAAGACGAAAACCAAGAACATAGAGTATCCCTTTCACGCTTACATAATATAGAAGTCAATGATAGTATCATTGATACATGTATCTGGAGAACGAAGTTCAACATCTCTCTTGCTAATTGAAATAGCATCAGGATCACCTTTCGGATAGATAACTTCTTCTAAATGTTCATGAAGCCTGCAGAACAAATTGAAGAAAACCAAATAAAATGCATAATATAGAGCTTGTGCCTCAAAAAGGAAAATGATATAGAGCATCATAATCCATTAAACTGCATTCAAAACCAATTAGCACCAGTGGTTCTGTTTCTATTGGTAACCAAAAAAACATGGAAGTTTGAACTTACTCAGAAAAAATATGGCTTTGGAGAAAACCTGTTATTCTGTCTCACGAAGGCATTCTCTTCATTTTTGCTGTAAATTGTAACACGACTGGTTATGTCTATGAAATTAAACCACGCACAGATACAAACAAAAGAGAATTCCATTCACATAAACAGCAAGTTAAGCTAGAAGAAAGGGGCTAGAGCATAGTGAAAGCCAGAGAATACTTGTCAGAGCTACAATCCAAGCTATACGATAAGACTAACACGAAAACAGTCAAACTAAACGATATATGTTAAAACACCATTTCTCTGGACGGGGAAAGAGAAAAGAACACCTATGTGGCTGGACAAAATCAAATGCATATCTATTCTAATTCAAGAAATCAAGTCAGTTCAAAGCTTACTCAGAAAGAATTTTCCATAAATCACTGTATCTCACGCTCAATGATTTGATTGCTTCCTGCCTTTCAGACCAACAAGGATCGTAAACCGAAAACGTCAACGATTCAATGACTGCAGCAATCAAGAACCCAGTTCAAAATGTATTGATGAGAAAAAATAACCCGTGAACAATATCACAGCTGCATCTAAAACAGCTCCTGTTACAAAAAGATGGTTGAAAACAATTTCATAAAAATGGCTCGCCAACAGGAAATAGTGCAGACGAGGTTATAATGTAGGGCTAGTGCAACAGCTAAGATGGGTGATATTCTAAAAGAAGTCAGATTAGGCAATAATTTTGACTGGAGTTCAGCTAATTTCCCTTAGAACATGAAATATCATGCTATACCAAAAAATGTTTAATACACATTATTTGTGAAAATGAGCAAACCTGAAAATAATAATCAAGTATATCCATTACAAGGAGGGTTATTAGAGTTTAGATTTAACTTAAGAGTAAGAATCAAACCAGAACACAGAATAATTAAAATTTTAAAGATTTAAAGTCAATTTAAGAGATAAAAAAATTATTTAAAATCACCAACAATTAATTGGTCTGGTGGAATGAGACGAACCGATTGACTTTTGTAAATGAAGTAAATTGGATTGAGAAAATCGCTCCTGTAACAAACTTTTGCAAATTCTCGATCCTGAATAGTCGAGGAATAGATCGGATACCAATAGTTAATAACTGACGGTGATCAACTGTTTGATAAACAAATGGGAATCAATGAGCAACAAGTGATAAGCAGTAGCAACAAAGCCAAAACGAAAAAAATGTTGTTGCAACTCTGAATTTATTTACAGAAAAATATGAATAAGCTAATTCTATTGGAAAGTTTAATCTGATTTTCCGAAGCTTACTTGCTCAAAGAAGTTATCCACGATGCTTGAACTTAAAGAATCAGCAGACTAAGAAAGGGTGTCATCTTGAATGAGCTAAAAGAGTAGAGCAAGCAGATTCCGGAAGTGCAGCAAATCCAAACTCCGAGCATTGTAGGCCGTGGTTGATGGCAACAATCCTCGAAAGCACGTTCAAAATTGTTAAGCAAGCAAAATAAATGCACACCTCACTCCATCCTTGCCTTTCTATGTAATGAGTTCACCGTCAATTCTAATGAGAGGGATGTGGGAAATGTTGGGCCAATCTCTGCCTTTCTCCTTTTGGCAATGTTTTTTCAGCAACGGACAACCTCGAATCTCCAGACGAGAAAGGGAGGGGAGGAATGTCTTTGCCGGTATGGACTGAAGCTTCGGACAGTTGAAGATTTTCAACGACACCAACGAAGGAAAGGCGGAGTTCATTTGCTCCGGCAATGACTTTAAACTTCTGCAATCATGAAGCCAAAGTTCCGTCAAATTGGTGACACATAATCCGTCTTCAATTCTCAACGATATCAAATTTGGGCAGTGTTCGATGAACAAAGAATCGAGACACGCTGGATGGTGGCGTTGAATGCCCCCTAAAGCACCAATAAACTTCAAGTCTTCACATCCCTCTATAGTAGCACGTTTTAGCAAAGGAAACGATCCTAATGGCAAACATAATTCTAAAACCGGATGACACTCACTGCCCTCTATTCTCAAGGATTCAAGTGATGTATACAATAATATTTTGGAATAATCCAAGACTTATGCAACTTTTGATGTTCGATCTCTTCAACGTTTTAACTTCAGGAAGCGATCTGATATCAGAACAACCCCTCATAGTTAACCTGTCGAGATGAGTGCACTGTGAACTACCATGTCAGCATCATGAACTGCAACGCCAATACCGTAACGGTCAACAACGAAAAACATTGATCGAAGGACTACAATGGATTTAATTTTCAATTTGGAGGGCTACTTTGAAAAAAATTAATATGAGAGCCACATCAATTTTCTTTCAAAAGAATAGGGTATTATGATGCCTTTTTGTCAAAAAAGAAATATAAAATTCTATCTAAAATACATAGAAATTTTCAAGAGACGAGTTCGAATAAAAAATATTTTAATTTGTATACTTGCAAATTCCAAACACAGCAGGTATTAACCCTTAATTATTCGAGGTCGATTTGTTTTTACGTATAATAAGATTTAAATTTGAATTTTATCAAGTACTAACCCTTAATTTTGAATTTTTACAGATAACTCTACCATAACAAATTAAACATTAAATTTAAGCATAAGATCGCTTGTGTTTTTAACCAATTTCGTACATGATGTTCTCTTCATACTACTACCAGGTAAGTTCTAACAAGGGGATCATGTCGGAAAGTTACCAGCATCGAAAGCAAGCCCGAAGCAGCGGGATCCTAAGATTCAGATGCAGCGTCCGTCGCCACAGTCGTGTTACCATTGCCGCCAATGATGACACTGTTCATACTGCTAGTAAAGTCGTATACATGGCCCATTTTAGCTCGTTTCGTCGCCAAGTATCGCTTGTTCTCCTTTGTAATAGGTGTTAGTAGTGGAACCCTGCCTGCAATTGCTAATCCATAACCCTTAAGTCCTTTGTATTTGGCCGGATTGTTCGTCATCAGCTTCATTGTTCGCACACCCAGATCCCGAAGTATCTGAAAGAAAGAACCGAAGTTTGAATCAGACAACTTCTATATCAAGTAAGAAGAAAGCAAAATCCATAAAAACAAAGCATAAAGCCTAAGCATTCTAGTAGGCCATGATCATTACGGATTCATGTTTACTGAACTTACTTCCATATGTAGTAATGGATGGAAAAATGAAACTACATATTTAAGCTATATTACTCGGGAAGGTGATATGGTATGCCGCCGAATATGTATCAAAAACAGACGTCGGGCTTGAGTACTTTAAGAGAAACGAAAAATGGGACCCATTCTGCATGGAATAAGCTACGTTACAAATTAAGGTTCAATCTACTATATCACGAACAGCATCCTGCAGATTATACTGTATCACGACCAGCATACCTGTGCACCAATACCATATTCTCTTGAATCAACAGGCAACCCGAGCTCGACATTTGCTTCTACCGTATCACGACCAGCATCCTGTAGATTATAGGCACGAAGCTTGTGGCCTAAACCAATTCCCCTGCCTTCATGTCCACGGAGATATACCAAAACACCCCTTCCAGCATCCTCGATTTGTTTCATTGCAAGACTAAGCTGATTCCCGCAGTCGCACCTAGCAGATCCGAATATGTCTCCTGTTAGGCATTCGAGTGAACCCTCACAAGAATGTCTTGTCCATCTCCAATCTCACCCTGTTTTCACCATACAAAAGAATCATGCCATATATAGAATTGACAACGAAAATTATGGTAAATCAGATATAAAAGAAAGTGAAATTAGCTATAAGGATGCCGATGTATCCTCACCTTCACCATTGCGATATGCTCAATCCCATCTAATAGTGACCTGTAACAATAAGCATTGAAGGGCCCCCACATCGTAGGTATCAGTGCAGTACCAGCATGTTCAACTAATTTATCCCTCTTTCTCCGATACCTGTCAACAATAAGCAGCATTACTAATCATTTACTTTACCGTGCCTAGAAATTACGATTAATTGAACAACTTAACCACATGATCCATGAAACATATGTAGAAAACAAATCTCTGCATATGGTACTCGTTAGTTTACCTAATTAAATCAGCAATGGATATAATTTTCAAGTTCTCCCGCTCAGCAAATTCACGAAGCTTTGGTAATCTAGCCATGGATCCATCATCATCTACTACCTCACAGAGAACCGCAACAGGGTCCAGTCCAGCTAGCATTGCAAGATCAACTGAAGCTTCAGTATGCCGGCTCTTTTCAGAACACCACCTTCCCTGTACTTCAGCGGGAAAATATGACCTGGGCGGTTGAAATCCTGTGGTTTAGAATCTTTTGAAGCAAGGGACAATATTGTCGTTGCTCTATCGTGTGCAGACACGCCGGTTGTAGTGCCATGTTTTGCATCCTGGAAAATTGGTTTTCATACAACACAAAAGTTGAGAATCATCCGAAGTGTTGATGACCCCTAATCATACTTTGTTCATAATAGTTAATACCATAAAAATTTATCCAAAATTCGTATTTTATGCTTATCACTTTAGTAGGCAATCAAGATCATGAATATCCAGTAGGTGGTGGTTCTGACTTTCAAATATGTTATGATGCAGTAAATTCCATTGAACATAAAATAAAGTCTCAAATTTAAGTTAGTCTCGTTGATACGAACTTCTTTCCAAATAATCCATTATTTCCCCGAAACGAATGAATTATCCATGTATAACATACCACTGTAACCGTGAACGCGGTGCGGAGTTTCTCTTCATTTTCCCTTTGGTTCACCATCAAAGGAAGATTCAACCTCTCCAGATCCTCCTCTTTCATGCTCACACAAACGATCCCGGTTCCATGCTTCACAATAAAGGCCATAGATTCAGGTGTCACCAACTGTGCCGCCATTATAAGATCTCCTTCGTTTTCTCTGTCCTCATCGTCTACAGCCACTACCATCTGCAAACATTAATTCCGATTACTGAAAAAAAAACGGACTAATATCCAGAAATATAAATCTACAAGTGTTGCCGGTTCATGGAACCTAAAAAACAGCACTAACCTTGCCTTGACGAATGTCTTCAATTGCCTCGGGGATGGAAGCAAACCCTTCGGTGGGGCGGTCCGAATCAAACTCATCATCGTCAATGGGAAAACCATTACTCGCAGATTTGGCATCTGCAGCAACATTTCTAAATGTTATAGTATCTTGTCATGCACCAATCTCAACTGAGTTATCACTAAAGAGATTACCATCTTTAGAAACACCATTTCTGTCCGAATTCGACCAGAAGTCACCTTCTCCGGATAGAAGTGCAGACGTAGTTTTTCCATCACTTTTAATAACAAACGACGATCTATGACCCAACCGTACGAAGGCCGAATCAGATGTGTAGCCATTTGAAAATAATAGTTTCGTTCTGTGTAATCCATTAAAGGATCGGAAGCTTTTGGATGACCTATGTAGAAACAAATGTCACTAAGAAATTCACACAATAAAATTTTCTAGCTGTTTCTTACCAACCAAACACACCGACATTCCATCATTCAAAAGATAGCAAATAAAATCACCATTTCAAATGTCGAAAGGCTTAAAGTTTACATACAAACATTGGGTCATTGGATCTAAGCTAAGCAAAGCGTTTGTATAACATCGAAATGTAACAGTTGATCGTTAAAAAGAAGAAAAACAAGAATTATAAAATCAAACAACATGAGAGGGAAAACCGAATTGTGGGAAAAGAAACCTTAAACAAAGAAAACCCAAACGAAAACTCAACTTAAACGAAAGGATCCGCTGAAGAAACAGAGAAGAAAGCTTACCCGGGTCGAGAAAGTGATGCAGTTGAAAGAGCAGGAAGGTTCAAAGATGCCATGAGCAGTCGGATAAAAGCTGAAAGTCTAATATGGGGATTTTGATATCGCAATTGTAAATTTGAAAAGGGTTTTTCATATATATACATAAACACACATATATAACAGGCAGAGGTAGCGAAATGGAAGAATGTGGAGACGACGACGGAGATGAGCTATAACAAGTAACAGCAGTACGGCACTTCTGTTCGGTAGGTTCCGTTTTCCACAATTAGTCGATATAATATGGATAATTTTTATAAATATATATGGGTAAATTACATAAATGATCCCTAACTATAGAGTGTTATCGGGTTGAGTTCTCGACTATTAAAAATTATAAAATGATCATTTAATTATAGGTCATTGCTTTGTTGAGTCCGTCAACTATTAAAAGTAACAAAATGATCATCTGACTATTCATATATTCCAAATTCATAATTTTCTATTAAAAAGTTGGCAATCCTTTGAGTTAAACGTTAACTTGCTAATTGGTATATAATAAAATATGATATTAAAATCTCAAGCGACTATACAACTTAAACAAATGTATTTAGAACGACCAGTTCAAACGATCACCAATTTAGAACTTTTAATACAAAATGACGAATATGGAACATATGAATATTTTAGTGATCATTTTATAACTTTTAATAGTTGAGGGGCTAAAAGAAATAATGTGCCACAATCAAATAATCGTTTTATAATTTTTTAATAATAAGAGAACTCAACAAAGCAGTGTACTTTACCTTATATATATTATATTCGCAATATAGTGGATTGGTCAGTAAAAAAAATAAATTGATTACTTTTTGTTACGATTTAAGTAGCTCTATCGATCAACCGAAAATAGTGCCAAGGGTGAATAGGCCAAATAAAATCTTGGGAGTACGGAGAGAAAAGATAGATAATTTGCACAACGATTTATAGTGGTTCGACTTATCAACCAATTCTACATCCACTACCTTAGCTCCACACTAAGGATTTTCTAACAAGTCCACTAATTTGTTCTTTCTTTTTCTAGGTTCAAAGGTAACCTTTTACAATTTCATAGTTTTCAATGGCTAAACTAGAACCAAAGCACTTTTACAAAAGGATAAAGAAAATGTAAACAAGAAACCTACACAATTAAGCTCACTAAAAACACTTATGTACAAGAAAAAATGAAAAATAAGAATGAAATAGTTTTTCTCTTGACGTGGATTGATTGTTTGGATAGGCGTTGTAACATCCTCCAAGTGTATTCAACTTCCTTTTATATGTTGGAATGTGTTTGTGATCATTTCTAGCCGTTGGGATGTTTTGAAGTCATTTGGGACTTAATTGTTGTAAAATAAAACTACTCATACAACGGCGTATCGATACTCGAGATGTGAATATTAGTATTGCACTAATAAAAACTAGTCGTTTTTCGAACGTTGGGTTGTGAGTATCGATACTAGGGTTTACAGTATCGATACTACTATATTAGTATCGATACTCCTTTGAGTATCAGTACCAATTTTGCATACTGGAATATGAACACATTTAAAACCAATAGGCAACATCGATGCTGCCATGAGAGTATTGATACTTCCCTTACCTTAGGTATCGATACTACAATAACAATATTGATATTGTTCATGTGGTATCAATATTGTAAGAACAATATCCACATGAACAATATTGGTATTTATTTTCTAGAAAATCATTTTTGTCTTCAAATTCAAATTTTATGGACTTTGAATTATTTTTGAAAACTTTGAATGAATTTGATAAAATCCAAACACATTTTGCCCTTAAATTTGGTATATCAAAATAGGTTCAACGCTTTTAATTTAAAAATGTAATTGGTTGAAAAAAAATATATAATGATCAAATTGGTAATTTTAATAAATTTAAGGAGTTAAGAAATTATTTATGGGATAATTTTTATATTTTAAGAAAGTTGATGTCTTATCATTTAAGTTTTAGAGATTTAAATTTTAGGTTTAGTTTGTTAAGATTTAAGGAGTTAAGAAATTATTTATGGCATAATTGTCAATTGTATAAATATCAACTAGAATAACAATTGTAATTAGAATCAATTATTAAAAGTACTAAATTGCATGATTAAATTAACAATTGAACAAAATTAAAATTAAATTATAATAAAAAAAACCACAGATATAAATATGAATGTGATAAGTCCAAGAAACCATCTTAAAAAAATTAAGCTTAGGAAACATCTCCATTGTCAACTCCCTTATTGTCGAGCAAACAATAAAACAAGAGTGCACATTGCCTCACTGCAATTAGTACAGCGAAATGCTAAGAAATTGATGGGTAGTTCCAGGCATGATCAACTAAAAACAAGCAACGAAAGAGAAAGTGAGACGAACCAACTTTTCGGTACAAAAACAAGAAGAGAAGCAAAATACTACCACAAAGATTGGGGGGCTTCACGGTTGTTTCTCGTCCTCGTTTTTGGGAGCTTCTTTGATCTCATCGGTCCCGTCATCCTAAATGGATAAAACATTATAAAAACATAGATGGCTAAATACAGAGGCAAGATAGAAAAAACATGCATGCAGCGTCAAACCTGCATATCTGAGGTCCACAAAGTGAGGTTATCACGAAGAAGTTGCATTATCAAAGTGCTGTCCTTGTATGAATCCTCTCCGAGAGTATCCAGCTCAGCAATGGCTTCATCAAAAGCCTGAGGAAAGAAATGAAAAAGTCTTTTGACTCGATAGAATTTGAAGACGAAATAAATGAACTCCAAATGAAGAGCGAAAAAGGATGTGCAAAGTAAAAGAATGTACTTGCACATTCTTTGATGAACGAGATGAATATTTAGACTAAACTAAAATTTCTGAAGTCTTCTAATTCTACCTGTTTGGCAAGACTGCAAGCACGATCCGGAGAATTCAAGATCTCATAGTAGAAGACAGAAAAGTTCAGAGCCAATCCTAGACGGATAGGATGAGTCGGGCCTAGTTCAGTATTTGCAATGTCCTGAAAAGAAAGCAGCACAAAAAGATACAGATAGCATCATAAAGGGTCGGAACCATGGACGAAATACAAATCATTAACCAGAGGTAAATATCAACCAGAACCGAAATAAACAGGAATTACAACAATGGCATGACTGGAAATGCTCGATAATCCGAATCAACTAAAATTACACCACAAAATGAATCAAAACCGAGGAACATCGAATACTAAGTTGGGGGGAGGAAGAGATGAGGTGAGGAGTGACTATATATCACAAACACAAATTTCATTGGTCCCAAAAAGAAATTCAACTATGCCTAATGCACTTAAATCAGAAATGATAAAGTTACAAGTTCCAACAGAAAGTACAAAACTAATTTATGAAATGAGACCATATTTCTCGATAATTTTAGTAAAATTTCTTTTACGGTTCGCAGTAATGTCTTCTAACGATTATGTTTCCAAGTCAAGTTTAGCAAGGGAAATCAGATCCGGATCTTGACGATAAGAAATACAGAAAAGATCAAGGGCAGTTCCCATGAAAAAAAATTAAATCATATCTAGATTCAAACAAACTGAAAACAAATTTCATCATGATTCAAATCTAAACTAAACCAGACCCTAAATTACACATCAAAACGAGCAAAATACACATGATCGAACCGGAATTTACGGAAATTGCCACAAACCTGAGCAGATTTATATGCGGTGAGGGTATTTTCGGCAGCGGCTTTCCTGTCATCGCCAGTCTTGAACTCAGCCAAGTACCTATGGTAATCTCCCTTCATTTTCAGGTAAAACACCTTGGAATCCCCGGTTCCAGCAGCCGGAACAAGCTTCTCATCGAGGAGCTTCAAAATTCCGGCGCAAATCTCGCACAACTCTGCCTCGACCTTGGCCCTGTAGTCGCGTATGACGGAGACGTGGTCGGTGTTCCCGCGTCCTTCCTCCTTCTGCTCGATGGAGGAGACGATCCGCCAGGAGGCACGGCGTGCACCGATGACGTTCTTGTAGGCGACGGAGAGGAGGTTGCGCTCCTCGACGGTGAGTTCGTCGGGTGGAGGTACGGCGGAGACGACGTTTTCCATGAATTTGACCATCTCCTCGTAACGCTCAGCTTGCTCGGCGAGTTTAGCCATGTAGACGTTCTCGTCGCGTGGGGAAGCGGCGGCGGCCATGGTTTCTTGGTTTTGAGTGGTTGTTTTCGAAAGAGGGAGGATCTTATTTCCGAGGGACTTGAGATTTGGAGAAATAGAGAAAAGGAATTTCAACTCGCATCGTCGTTGTCGTTCTTTTGGGTAAATGGTAATTTTCATCACTTAATTATCTTAGTCATTAAAATTTAATAATTTTAATTTAATTTCTAAACTTTCAAATAGCTTTTTTTTTTAAACTATATCAAAACGACGTTGTTTTGGATTTCTACGTAAAATTAAATCTTTTAAAAACAATAGTGAATTTGTTGAGATTTCCCATAAAATCTTTTTTTTTTCTTATTTTTTTCTCGTTTCTTTTTTCCTCATATCATTTTCTCTCGATCTAAACCAACCCTAATTATAGTCATTGTGTTGGTCGTCGATATGATCACCGTTGATCACCATTATCAGAGGCTAATGAATCTCAAAATATCCCATCAAACTTGTCTGACCTTTCTGAACATGATTCTATTGTCCATTTAATCGGAAAACAATCCAAACTCCATAAATCTCCATCATCGGTGTAAAAACCAGTGCCAGATAAAAGCTTTTCCTTTCTTTATTCAACCCTTCGATTTAGATCTCTATGAAACCAGGCTAAAAACCAAGAAAACCAAATTAAAACTTTAACCAAATAGTCTCGATTTGTGTTTTTTCACTGTTTGATTGTTTTCTGATTGAGATATGTTACTTTTCACTTAATATATCATGCAACCAATATAGTAGAGCATACAAATGGTGTTGTTCATATTTTAGCCTTGGTGTGTGCGATTCATAACTTGAGATGCAAAGCATGAGCTACTGATATTCAATGGATCCCGAGAGAATGATTGTTTGGATGCTGCCCCACCAAATCTCATTGCTTTGGTAGATCGAGATGTAAACGACCCCTCGTACTTAAGAGTTTGATGTAATGCTCCCATCGACTATTCATTATGCTCCAAACTCGTCATTTTCCGTTAAAAATCTGATGGTGATTTGAGTGAATTAACCTACTTACCGAGATATGATATAATACGATCCTAAAATCTCAAATGACTATCATATCTCAGTCTACATGTTAACGTCCAACTCAAACTATCATCAATTTTATAACGAAAAACGACGAGTTTGGAACACAATGAATAGTGGGTGATCATTTTGTAACCTTCACAATCAAGGGACTCAAAATAACAATATCTTATAATTAGGAGACTATTTTATAACTTTCAATAGTTGGAGAACTAAATAAAACAATACTCCATAGTCGAGGGACTATTTGTATACTTTTTCTGTCTTTATTAGGAGTAAGAAATATTATCGTGCCAATCTTATTAGCTAGCATAACATCTCCATTTCAAAAAATAGAAAAAAAATTTGAGATTTGAGTAAATAAATTTACAAACGAGTCAATAAATGAATTTATAAACAAGTTTATTAGTTAACATTAGGGATAGGTATAGGTTGGGTCAGGTGGATCCCGACCCGAATTGAAAATTATACATCTTTCATCTGACCTAATCTCGATCTTTTTTTGAGATAAAACTTGAACTCGACCCGACCCAACCCGAAATAATATATTTATTAAACTATTACTTTTATTCGATAAAAATAGGGATTTAATTTATAAAAAACAATACATGGAAGGGTATTATTGCAATTATCCCTAAATATAAGATAAAAATATAATTTTTTCAGATCGGATCGAGTATTTTTCACCCTAAACACGAATCCGATCCGAACATAACATCTAAAAAAACCAAAATCGATCCGAACCTGAATATGAATATGCTTTTTAAAAAAAAATTAAACCCGATTAGATCGAGTCAAAACCAGTCATATTTGAATCTCATGCCCAACCCTAATTAACATAAATAAATTGAACATACATCTATTCGTATAAATTCATTTATTAAATGAATACAAAAAATTATTAAAAATTATTTATTTAACTTAATAAATATACATAAATAAACGTTATACAGATAATTCACAACTAATTCATCAGACGCTCTGTTTAGGCCTGTAAATGAATCGAACGTTCAACGAACCGTTCGGCTGGAAGTTCGTTTATTTATTGAACGAACGAACATGAACAAGTTTTTGTGTTCGTTTAATTAAATGAACGAACATGAGCAGAGGGCTCATTTCGTTTAATTAAATGAATGGACATGAGCAAAGGGCTCGTTCGTTCATTTACGCTCGTGAACGTTCGATAATATATTCGTTTATGTTTGTTCATTTATGTTCGTTCGTTTATGTGTGTTTATTTATATTTAGCTCAATCTGTCTAGACATATTTAAAATATTAAAACCCAAAATTTTAATATGATACCCATAAATATTTTAAAATTCAATTAATTTTAAATACAAATAAAAAAAACTCAAAACGATTAAATAAAATAGAATCCTAAAATTTTTATGAAAGAAAAAAATATATGTTTTCATTTATTTTTGTTTACGTTTATTTATGTTCATTTATTGTGTTCGTTTACATCCTTTCGTTTATGTTCGTTCATTTGTGTTCGTTTATCATTTAAATGAACGAACACAAACAAGCTATATTCCTTAACGAATGAACACGAACAATAAATTTTTTGTTTGCTTACGCTCGTGTTCGTTCATTTTTCTGTTAAAATTAAACGGACAAACATGAACATACCTTTGTTCGTTTAGTTCGTTTACATACCTAGTTCAGTTGATTTACTCTGTTGTATCTCCCATTGATTAAAGACATTACTACAAAAAGGTGTAGAGACCAAGATGATTGTCGGCCTAAGACCAAATCGGCCCATTTAAAAGACGCACGCTTATTAAAGCCCTATTCTCCATTCGTCTCATTCTCTTCTCTTTCGCGCACTGGGCTGCATCCCGTAATTTCGAGCAGCAGCAGGTAAACTCGATCCGAAAATGACCCTTACCCAAAAAATCATTGAAAACTATAATTTCATAGCTATAACTCTGTATTCCATTTGTTCAATTTAACTATTATTATTATTATTTTGCTGTCGTGTAGTTTAATATCGCAAATCCGACCACTGGTTGCCAGAAGAAGCTCGAGATCGATGACGACCAGAAGCTGTAAGTTTAATTTGTTTTCTTTAGTTCATTCTGTTTGAAAAGCAAAGAGAAATGTGTATGTCGAATTTTGGTTATATGTGAAATAGAGCCTAAGACTTCGGTTGAGTTTATGAGATTTGCCTAGATTCCGTTTTGTGATTAAAGATATTGATGTTATTTTATTGCAACAATCGTGCATTTTTCGACAAGCGGATCTCGCAGGAGGTTGCCGAAGATGCTTTAGGCGAGGTATGCGGAACAGCCATTTGACAAATTTATTTTGATTAATGATTGACATTCTCGAATTAATAGAAGATTGTTGTTTTCGATTTCTTTCAACAGGAATTCGAGGGGTATGTTTTCAAGATCATGGGAGGTTGCGACAAGCAAGGATTCCCGATGAAGCAGGGTGTTCTGACTCCCGGTCGTGTTCGTCTCTTGCTTCATAGAGGTGAGTTTTCTGATCTAGTTGTTTTGGTTTGTGTATTGTGTGCTTGAGAAAGCTTTTATATCGTAGACACCTAATTTTATCCGGTTAATGGTTATGTCTTCAAACGATGCTAGATGAAGCCTTGAGCTTGGTCCAATGAGGTTTTCAATGTTATTGATATAATATATGATTTAGTAATTAGGTTAGGCTTTTAATTGCATTAAGATTAGAGCTTTGGAATAAAACTTAATTTAGCTAAGATCAAAAGTTGAAACATATGTCGTGCATGACTTATTTTATCTGGAGAGTTGTATTGTTTGCATTACCATTTTGATATCTGCTGTCTCATTACTCTACTAAGGCACTAACCTTTGTGGATTGGAATGTCGATTTTTTATTCTTTCATTCGTGTCTGCCTCTGCAGAATGAAAGTTTGATTCATTTATTATATTGCTTGAGCAGGTACGCCTTGCTTCCGTGGATACGGAAGACGCAATGGTGAGCGTAGAAGGAAGTCGGTTCGTGGGTGTATTGTTAGCCAAGACCTTTCTGTTTTGAACCTTGTTATAGTGAAGAAGGGAGAGAATGATTTGCCGGGGCTAACCGACACTGAAAAACCTAGGATGAGAGGTCCAAAAAGAGCAAGATTAGAAAGCTCTTCAACCTTTCCAAGGAAGATGATGTCAGGAAGTATGTCAACACTTACAGGCGGACCTTCACAACAAACTCTGGTAACGTTGTTCTTTCTTCCTCAACTGTCTTTTAAATAAAGATGGACATTAGTGAATGCTTCATGTTTACCTCTGTTTTAAATAACGTTGTTCTCCAGTTATTTGCAAACTGTGAATGGTCTAACATATAATTATTAATTTATCTCCTACAAAATAGTGGAGTGCTTAATGCACACAGTAGTAGGTTGTATTTTCTAGGAAAATACAAGGCACATAATTCTTGGATTCTAGCTTCGTATTTTCTAAACCCTAGTACATAATTTGCATCTGCATGCCTCATTTGTCCACCACATTTAGGGGTATAAATGAACTGGGCATGATGAGCGAATACGGTTGTGTTTGGTTTGTTTAGCGTTCGCCGACTTGTTTATTTAACGTTTACGAACATATTCGTTTATGTGTTTAGAAAAATGGTGAAATTATGGCACTAGTCGTTAAGCTCCTTGAGCTTCATAGATTTCACTCCGAAGTTCATCTACTGTTCACCCCGTGTGGTATATGGGTATGTACTGGGGTGTCGTATCGCCATACTATACCCGAGTATGTCCATGGGGTTTTGGATCGAGTGTCCATTTTGGGGTTTGCAGGCAAGAAGGTCAGTAAAGAACCAAAAATCCAGAGGCTGGTAACCCCATTGACACTCCAGAGAAAGCGGGCTAGAATTGCTGATAAGAAGAGAATCGCCAAGGCCAAATCAGAGGCAGCCGAGTACCAGAAACTGCTCGCCACAAGGTTGAAGGAGCAGCGGGAGCTCCGTAGCGAGAGTTTAGCCAAAAGAAGGTCCAAGCTCTCCGCTGCCTCTAAGCCTACCGTCGCAGCTTAAATCACCTTAAAAAGTTTATATAAAACTATAGGGGATCCCGGTAAGTACTCAGTTTTTGCAAAACATCATATACATTCATCATTTTTTTGGCTTAGTTTCCAATGTGGTTAACGTTATTCCGACTACCCAAGGTTGTTGTAGATCTTTTTGACAATCATCATCCACATTCATTGCTGCACCTAATGCATTACATTTTGTAGTATGTTTATGTATGTATGTATGTATGAGCCTAGATTATACCCTATATTTTCGTAGTCTGAAAATGACAGCAGGCACTGAAAATATCCCAATTCACAAGCATCCTTAAGCTGAGATCAGTTCACATCACATGTAACGAAATAGTAGATGGGATGGATGGGTGCATGAACTGATTTGATGTGTGCTCCCGCATGCCATCTCTGATTCTTACTCTGATATTCTGACATCACTGAAATTTGATTTTTTAAAAAGGTGGTCCCCTGCAACTTCCTTCTGAAAACCTGTAAATGTCTTTTAATAGCTTTCCCTAATCCCTCTCCAAAATTTGTCATTAATGTTTAATACCATATTCTCACCATGCCCTATGTAGAGCCTAGGTGTGCATTGGAAGGGAAAACAATAATTAAATATGAGAAAATCTATCTGAAATACAATAGTGTTTGGTTTAGATTTAAGGGTACATTTGCGTTATTGTTTTAGGGTTTAGAATTTAAAACTTTAAGGCCTAAAGCTTGAGATTTAGTATTATTCCGAAAATCATTTGTATCAAAATTTTTATTTTAATTAATACAATTTCGAAATGGTTACCGATTTTATTAACAAAATTGGTAAAACGTCTAATAATAATAAAATTGATAGAAATAATAATTTTTTCAGTAATTTTTATCAGTTTTATTATTTAAATAATAATAAAATTAATAATATTTTTTTTAATCCTATATTAAGATTATCGCACGTAATCATTTTCTTGCGTCCACCAATCCTTTTCTCCTATGCCAATAACCTGGATTTCAACCCCGGGATCTTTTTGTTTGTTTTCATTTCTTGATCCAGTTTAACCTAGCCTTGACGAGTATCGTTTGATGAGCACCATAAAATATTATTAATTTAATTTATAAAAATTTAAAATTTTAAAAAATTTAATGTATAATTATAAATTAATTAAATAAAATATTTATGGTTTAAAGGTTGATATTTGATCTAATTATTATTAAAAATTTATGAAAAATAATGTAATTAATATTTTATTTTAAATAATATATTTTAAATTTTAACTAATTTATAATTATATATTGAGTTTATATAATATTTATTTTAAATTTTTTAACTAATTTATAATTATATCTTGAGTCTTTTAAAATTTTAAATTTTTATAAATTAAATTAATGATGCTCAGTATCACTTATATTAGTGGTGTTTGTCGAGCGTTGTAGAATTTTCCAACATCTTATGCCAATTAACACTTAAAAATCCCCACAAAAATCAACTATACTTCTTTGTGTTTAATGCTCAAATTCATTATATTTACAATCTCAAGCATTATTTAAGAAGCTTAATTTACTGATACTTGGACTTAAATAGAACTACTTTAAAATCAACTATACTTCTTTGTGTTAAATTTCATTAATGGGTTTAGCATGAAATTTATTGTAACTTTTAAAATCGTTCTCACATATTTAAAAATTTTAAAATGTGTTTGGCCCGGACCAGTAGTTAATCTGATAAACTCCATTCGCTCACTCACAAACTTTCTGCAGCAGTTACTACCACTCTGGGTAGTTTACAAACGTTTTCGTTCGGTGGCGGTGGTGGTCTTTTCCGACCACCATCCTGTCATTTTTTAATTATGTTTTTTTATATTTACTATAATAATACTCTTGACCATTTCTCTAGAAAAGGGTATCATGACTACGTGTTTTTGGACTCTCGGTGTAGGATTTTTATTTTGTTTTCTTCTCAATTTTTTTATTTTACCTGAATTTGTGGTTGTTGATTTTCAAATGTATGATTCATCTGTTCGTTTGTTCAAAATGGTTCGTTGATTATCGCATAAAGATGTCGGATGAGATTGATGTTAAGGGGATATCGTTTTTTCCGTTGGTCATTTTGGTGCTTCTTCAAGTTTCTCTCTTCCATGTTTAATGCTTAGAGATGTTGTGTAAAACTAATATTTTGATATAATAAACAAGGAAAAAATGTTTTGGACTAAATTGAATTTGTTCAAAATCTTCAAAAATAATTCAAAGTCCAAATAAAACTTAAAAAATATGTTTCTATATGGTTTTCAAACTTAGTAGAACATTTTCAAAACATACTCGATCATTTTTGCGCTTTACTGTTATGTTTCCAAGTTTGTCTAGCTCAAATGATCGATACTTTAGCAAAATGATCGATCCCTTTGACCAAATGATCGATCCCCTTGAAAAATAATCAATCCCTTAGACAATAATGAGTTTCAGATCGATCCTTCGAGGAAAAAGATTAATCCCTTCATAAAAAAGATCGATCCCTCGAAGAAAATATCGGTCTCTTCCAAAAAAAGATCTATCCCTTTAGTATAACGATCAAATATTTAAAAAATAATCGATCTCTTTAGTAAACGAACAAATCCCTTATGCCTTAAAAGTTGTAGGTAATAGCTATTTTGATCCCCAACGACTCCGAAATATCTCAACAACTAGAAATGACTAGTAACTCATTAATAGATCGAATTTCATAAATCTTAACACGTTGACAAAATATTTATTGATACGACTTCGATAAATGAATATTTTAATTATTTAAAAAATAATAATCGTAATTTTAGAATTAGTTTATTCAATTTCAAACATAATTGAAATTTATATATCATCGAAAATTTAAGATAAGTTTATATTAGGAAAGACGTTTTAACTTTTCACTTCTTTAATATTTATATAGTTTATTGTTCCACATTTCCATCTCTCATCTGCCCCTACCCCACACATTTTCTTTTTCTTTTTTGTTATATAGGAATTTACACGTCACACAAAACGACAACGTAAAAGGGTCCCTACCATCTTTTCCTAATTATCATAGCCACGTCAACCTTTTCATCATCATCCCCTCACCAGTGATATCCGCCACGTGTCACATCAGACGATCGCCTTGCAATTTGATGACCGGGGATCCCACATCGCCGGCAACAAGTACTTCCTTCCATTAATCCCATTCGCATTGTAACTAGCCCCGGTACTCTTCTCCACAAGCACGTTACCCGGATAACCCGGGTATGAACCCGACCCGAACATACCCGTACAAGCAGACACCGCCTCCAAGGGAGCATTCGCCGGACCCTGAAAATACCCGCTATTGAACGGGTTGGTAACGGTGTTACCCAACAGCGTGGCCAGGTTGATGATCATTCCGTCGACTCCCACGTCTCCGTTTGGCGCCACTAACGGCGGTGTCTGGGGACCGTAAATAGGCTGATGAAAAGGCCAAGCGCATTGACCCGGGCACTGAGTCTCCGAGTTCCCGACCCAGATGTAGGTTCCGCGGACCGGACCCCTGGTTGACCCGTGAGTACCGCACCTCATGCAGAACCCTTCGACGGCGACGTCTTTAGCCGTGAGGATGATATTGATGGTGTTAACGCCGTTAAATTTGCTCGCCAATGCTGGTAAATGCGGGTTCTTGAGGGATTTACCGAGGGGATAATTTTCGAGGAGGATCTGTTTGCCGACGGTCAAGGCGGAGGAGCCGCCCTTGTAATTCCCCGTCGTTTTCCACCACGATGACGTGGACGGATGCGCGGCGTTGTTCGAGTTCAACGAGGTGATGAAGTCGACGATTATCGACCGTTGGATTGGAGAGAACTTGCCGTACCAGATGAGATTAACGGTGATCTTGCCCTTCAGGAGTGGGCCGTTGTGGTACCTCAAAACAAGCGGTTGCTGTTGGACGAGCTCGGAGGAGGAGAGCTTGATGAAACAGAGGAGGAACAGAGCGGCAAAGAGGTGGTAAATTGGAGCCATGTTCAAAGGGTAAAATGGTAATTGCATACGGGTAAAGAAATCGTTTTTGCTTTACTTATGAAAGCTGCTTGCTGGGAAAGATTTGTTGCAGAGTGAAGGAAAAGGGAAGGAAGGAACTATTTATAGGTGTGATTTTTTTTAGGGGGAGAGAGAGAGATAGCGGGAGACAGCTGTCATTGCAGAGGTGTCAACGTCAAAGGAAGCCACGTGGAGGGAAACGATTGGGTTTTGCGTATAACGTAGAGAGATTTCGCAAGTCCGTGTGCAGTTAATGGAGAAATTATTAGATAGATTTGAATTACCATGACATTTGTGTTTTCAATTATTAGGGTTTATTTAGGGATAGATATGGAATATGAATTCGACAGGTTTTGATACTATTCGACTTGATTGAATCTGATTTTTTTTTTAAAAAAATGCAGGTTTGGGTTGGGTTTGGTCAGGTCGGATTTGAGTTTAGGGTGAAAAATATATGACTCGATCTGATCTGAAAATATATATAATTTTACCTTAAATATTTAGGAATAATTACAATAATACCCCTCTATATATTATTTTTTCAATTAAGTCATTGTTTTTACTGAATAAAAATATTTTTTATTATTTCGAGTCGGGTCAAGTTTTTAAGTTATATATTAGGTCGGGTGAAAACTTATTTTAATCGGGTCGGATTGGGTTTAGTCTCGGGTGAAGAACTCTTTATTTTCGGATTGAGTCGAGTGGACCAAAGACCCGACTCGACCTGACCCATACCCATCCCTAGGTTTATCCTCTCAAGATAACTTTCAAATAATTATCTAATAAATTTTTACATGCAAAAGACGTAAAGATTCACTTTTAAAAAATAAGGTGGATAAATATTATTTGTTAGGATCACAGATGACGTAATAACCTCGGTCCATTAACTTTTCATAGTAAGGAATTGAAACGGTAACGTGATGGTCTACTGAGCGAAATAAGTAACTAAGAGTGGAGGTTTACTAATATTTGTATAATACATTTTTAAAAAAATATTGGTGATGCAAGATGATTAGAAAATTTATTATTATCTTTGAGATTTTCAATTTAGTCATTGATATACTAATATGAGTATTTATTATTAAATAGTTAATTTTTTTAAATAGATAAAATCTTACATTTATCGAGATAAATGAAAATTATTCCCAACAGCCCTGGTAATTTTTTATTTCCAACAATGGTATTTTGGGGGTATATTACCGAGAATATAATTACCCCTTCCCTTAGATATTGTTGGATTACCGGCGTTTTGAACTAAAATGCCCTTAAATGTTTTTTCAAAAATATCCTTCTCCTGTGATTAAATAAAAAAATTCTACAAAGATTAAATTATAAATTTATCCTTAAACTATTTTAAATTTACAAAAAAAAATTCATAATTAGAATTTTATATGAAGTTCAGGGGTTAAAATAAAATTTTACCCTTTCATTAAACATATTTATCTTTTCAATTTTGTAAAAAAATTATATAAATTTTATGAATTAATTTTTTTTAAAGAAAATATATAAATTAATTATAGTAAAATTATATTAAAATTCAACTTGTTAAAAAACAAATATATAATAAGGACAATTTGATAAAATATACATTCTAATAATTTTTTATTCCTTTAACCAAACATTGTAATCTTAGGGTAGTTCTGCGGTGCGGCGCCTAAAAAACGGCTAATATACGGCGTGACCGGTTAAACAAGTGACCGGTTAAAATTTAGACCGGTTATGTTATATTATTTAACCGGAAATATTATAAAGTACAATAACATACTAGGTAGCGCTTATATAATGTAATAGGTAGCGCTTATATTTACCTATTTTATAAGTAAACCGGTATATTTATACCGATAGCATTGCAAATTTACCTATTACATTATAATACGTTGAAAGTGTCCATACTTTTTATAAAAAGGATCGATACTTTTTTTAAAGTTATGTAATTTATGTTTCAATTTTTTTTAATAGTGTTTCATGTTTTCCACCTACAATATTAATTTAATAATTTCATTTGCACAAAAAATTATTTGATTGTTTTGATATTTTATAAAATATTATTTAGAATTTAAATTTAACAATATTAACCAAAGATAATAATAAATATGTAATATATATGTTTATTGTTTTTAATTTAATAATAATATATATCGTAACGTAAAAATAAATCATTAGACGCCTATAATTACTAAATTAATATCTTAAAACTCACTCAAAAGATAACCTTAAATTAATGTTTTCCACAGTGAAAAAAGTATGGACACTTTTATAAAAAGGATAGATACTTTACAATATAAGCACTACCTATTACATTATATAAACGCTACCTATTACATTATATAAACGCTACCTATTACATCATATTTTTACCTATTATATTGAAAGTGTCCATACTTTTTATAAAAATGATCGATACTTCTTTTAAGGTTATGTAATTTATGTTTCAATTTTTTTTAATAGTGTTTCATGTTTTCCACCTACAATATTAATTTAATAATTTCATTTGCACAAAAAATTATTTGATTGTTTTGATATTTTATAAAATAATATTTAGAATTTTTAATTTACTAATAATATATATCGTAACGTAAAAAATAAATCATTAGACGCCTATAATTACTAAATTAATATCTTAAAACTTACTCAAAAGATAACCTTAAATTAATGTTTTCCACAGTGAAAAAAGTATAAACACTTTTATAAAAAGGATAGATACTTTACAATATAACCACTACCTATTACATTATATAAACGATACCTATTACATTATATAAGCGCTACATATTACATCATATTTTTACCTATTATATTGAAAGTGTCCATACTTTTTATAAAAAGGATCGATACTTCTTTTAAAGTTATGTAATTTATGTTTCAATTTTTTTAATAGTGTTTAATGTTTTCCACCTACAATATTAATTTAATAATTTCATTTACACAAAAAATTATTTGATTGTTTTGATATTTTATAAAATAATATTTAGAATTTTTAATTTAATAATAATATATATCGTAACGTAAAAAAGAAATCATTAGACGCCTATAATTACTAAATTAATATCTTAAAACTCACTCAAAAGATAACCTTAAATTAATGTTTTCCACAGTGAAAAAAGTATAGACACTTTTATAAAAAGGATAGATACTTTACAATATAACCACTACCTATTACATTATATAAACGATACCTATTACATTATATAAGCGCTACCTATTACATCATATTTTTACCTATTATATTGAAAGTGTTCATACTTTTTATAAAAAGGATCGATACTTTGTTTAAAGTTATGTTTCAATTTTTTTAATAGTGTTTCATGTTTTCCACCTACAATATTAATTTAATAATTTCATTTACACAAAAAATTATTTGATTGTTTTGATATTTTATAAAATAATATTTAGAATTTAAATTTAACAACATTAACCAAAGATAATAATAAATATGTAATATATATGTTTATTGTTTTTAAAACTCACTCAAAAGATGTATATACCTAAATATGTAGTTATTGTACATACCTAAATATGTAGTTATTGTACATACCTAAATTTAATGATAATATATACTTGTAGTTATTGTACATACCTAAATATGTACTGCGAATTTAATGTTGTACCCACCCTTTAACTACTACTACCAATGCCACATCCTATTGAAAGCAGCACGACTAAAACATGTTCAAAATGAACCTTTGCTTACATCTCCATCAACTCCTGGAGCACTGAACTTGCACAACAAAATTTTTGCCATGGATAATACTGATGTAGACAATGTTAAGCCAACCGAGGAATGCCATGAAGTACATAATGTTGATGAATCTGACAGATTGGTTGGTCAGCTCTTCTGTTCACGTGATCAAGCTTGGTACTTTTACAAGGGATTCGCACGGGAACATGGGTTTAGTGCACGTAAGGGAACAACACGGCTTGACGTGGAAGGGAATGTGAAGACACAAGAATTTTGTTGTTCCAAAGAAGGGTTTCGAGTATCAAAAGTCAATACTGTTGATCGTCAACGTGCTCATACGCCAGTCACAAGAACAAGATGTAAGGCTAGAGTCGTAGTTACAGCAACAAATACAAACGATCAGTGGGTTATAAGTAAGTCTGATCAGAAACATAATCATGCATTGTGCACACCTGCTATGACACCATTTATGCGTTCTAATAGAGCTGTAAGTAAGGCTGATATCGATGAGGCAACAACATTGAAAGAGGTCGGTGTTGGCACGTCACAAGTAATGAACTATTTAACGCAGCAGGCAGTGGGCTATCATAATGTTGGATTTACACATAAAGACCTCTACAATGCACTTCAAAGAGGTAAAGCAAACGAAATCGTCGATGGGGATGTGAATGCGCTTATTGCCTACTTTGATTATAAGAAACATGATGATCCCGGGTTTTTTATGACATACTCGGTAGATGAATCGGGGGCATTGTATAATCTTATTTGGTCGGATTCTACATCGAGATCGGATTACACATGCTTCGGTGATGTAATTGCGTTCTACACAACGTACAAAGATAATTTGTATGGTCGACCAATTATGCCTATTATTGGTGTCAATCATCACCATAACACAATTGTGTTTGCCACTGCCATAATCGCTGACGAGACGTCTCAATCTTTCGAGTGGGTGCTACAGAATTGTTTAGAAGCCATGATGAATAAATCACCTATTTCCGTTGTAACCGATGGGGATAGGGCAATGCAGAGGGCTATCAAATCTGTTATCCCTTATGCTAAGCACATATTATGTTCTTGGCATCTTTCTCGCAATGCACAAGCTAACATTGGTGACCCAAAGTTTACAGCAGCATTCTCAAAATGCATGGCTTCCTGGTGGACAACCAAGGAATTTGATATTCAATGGCGTTCGGTTGTTTCAGAATTCAACGTCCAAAAGCATCCATGGGTGATTGAGAAGGGAAATACACGACACTTATGGGCACAAGCATATCTAACCGGTCATTTCTTTGCCAATATTCGCTCAACACAAAGGTGCGAGTCTATGAATGCTTCACTAGCTATTGCACTGAAACACAATAAGACATATTTAGATGTTGTTCGTGCAATTGAAGATGGAATTAGTAGAATGCGTATGAACGAGTTGAAAGCGGATTACTTAAGTTCCCATACGAAGCCCTTCCATATCACAAAACCGGTCGACCTTGAAAGCCACGCCGCTGCGATTTTTACCCGCGAATCTTTTCGTGTGTTCCAAGATGAACTTATACGGGAGACATTGTACCGGATTGAGGCATAGATTAAGTCATTATCAGATGAATGTCAACATTATATTTTGTCAAAGTACGCAGAAAAAAATAGGAAATTTGAAATTAGTTTTGATTCTCGTACGAAAACTCTAATTTGCTCCTGTAAAAAATTTGAGACCGTTGGACTTCCGTGTCGCCATCAACTTCACATTTTGAAGCAATTGGACTACACATATTTGCTCGGGACTTTGATTCAAAGTAGGTGGACTAATGATGCGAAGGCTTCTGCACCCAGCTATGTTGATTTGAATGTGTCTCCAGAAGTGATGCAAATGGCAAGGTTCGCTGCTCTACGTTCAACGTCAAGTAGGTTATGCTACATTGCATCAAAGACAGACGAGTCTTTCAAAACTGCAAGAGATGAGATGAAAAAACTAATAGAAGAATTAGAAAACTCGTTTGGTTTGAATCATTCAGTCAACCAGAGCATTGTAGTAAACAATGTTCGTGACCCTCAACGAAAACAACGCAAGTGAAAAGAAGTGCCGAAGAACAAGGTCGAGAAGAAAATTAGGCGATGTAGGTACTGCAACGGTGAGGGACATAACAAACTAACATGTCCTCAAGTCAAGCTCAGTTTGAGTACAAGCACACAGCCTACATCAACTGATTTTTTCGAAGACGGAATGGAATGACAACGATCTCCATATATCGTAAGTATCAACATGACTCCTATTGTATGTACATATAAATATTTTGAATGAAGGAAGAAACCGCGTTACTTAAAATTACCGACATTTTTTAAAATGGTATCGACACATTTTTCTTCCAATCTGGACATAAAGTACCGACACAATATTAGAAAGTGTCGATATAGGTTGTAGACCTATTCTCTCATAAAACCGGTATATTTATTGGTTATATTACAAAATTATCTATTACATTATAAATCTGGGTTCCGATGTGTAAATGTCGACACTTTTTTAAATGGTATCGACACATTTTTCTTCCAATTTGGACATAAAGTACCGACACAATATTAGAAAGTGTCGATATAGGTTGTAGACCTATTCGCTCATAAAACCGGTATATTTATACCGGTTATATTACAAAATTATCTATTACATTATAATTCTGGGTTCCGATGTGTAAATGTCAACACTTTTTGACAATGTATCGACACATTTTTCTTCCAATCTGGACATAAAGTACCGACACAATATTAAAAAGTGTCGATATAGGTTGTAGACCTATTCGCTCATAAAACCGGTATATTTATACCGATAGCATTGCAAATTTACCTATTTTATTATAATATGTTGAAAGTGACCATACTTTTTATAAAAAGGATTGATATTTTTTTTAAAGTTATGTAATTTATGTTTCAATTTTTTTTAAGTATGTTTCATGTTTTCCACCTACAATATTAATTTAATAATTTCATTTGCACAAAAAATTATTTGATTGTTTTGATATTTTATAAAATAATATTTAGAATTTTTAATTTAATAATAATATATATCGTAACGTAAAAAATAAATCATTAGACGCCTATAATTACTAAATTAATATCTTAAAACTCACTCAAAATATAACCTTAAATTAATGTTTTCCACAGTGAAAAAAGTATAGACACTTTTATAAAAAGGATAGATGTCGTTTGATGTCGTTGACATAATTCGTTACGCAACATGGAGACTTCATGTTGCAATGATGAAATATCGGATCGCATTCCACTCACAAGGGAATCAATATGCTCCCGAAAATTGACCATATATTCCATCACGATCTTAATTGTGACATCCTCTGCAACTGGAGCTTCTTCCATCATTGCGTCTCCACTTGGTTTCTCTTCTTCATGGCCAACGGGGTCCATTTCCTCCCTCTCTTGATCTAATCCGACCTCCTTGACACGCTTCCAACCGAGTTTTTCAACAAAATCATATCCCGCTTTTTTAATAAATACCATGTCAATCTTGCGGGTTAACCGAACAGGGGCGTCATGCGAAAAATCAACTTCCTTCTTCTTCAACAGATGGGTGATGACACATCCATATGGTAGTGTAGTCGAAATTGTTGCTCCCTTTGTGACCATATATACAATTGTATTAAATATGAGTTTTGCAATGTTTGGAGCCGTTTTGGATTTATACTTTGCTATCCACCAATAATCGCTGTCTCGAAGCGTTGAATGTTTTCCCCCACTAGGCCGGATATACCATGTGAGCATTTTTTGAAGCACTCTCGACTCTACATCGAGGTGAATTGGGCTATTTTTAGCAACCCGTTTAATTGTAGACCAATCTACACCATTTTCATCTGAATCCCCTGTATTCGCTACACCTAAACCCTCCGCAATAGTTTCTGGAGATATATATATATCCTTCCCCATGACATATGTATTAATTCCTATTATATTAGTCTTATTAGGCTCGTGCTGTAAGGAAGCATTGTTGTAGAAAACTCTAACTAGGTTGGGATAATATCTTGGTTCTACACCAAGGAATTCAAGCCAACCCCAAGATGTAAATGTGGATTTAAAACTAAATGCATAATTATCATTAAACAAGAAACCCAAGTCAATGACACGTTCGGGACGAATCTTCCTTACTTTAAAACTCGTCTGCCATCTTTGTTTCTCCATATCAGATCTAAAGTTCAGAGTTTCGAAGGACCTGATTTCCTCAGAAGAATCGTTTGTTATAGAAGGAGGTTGTGGTTGATAAGAACTGGGTTGAGAAGAGCTTTGAGAAAGACCTCGCTTCTGACGCTGACGTTTTGGAGCCATTTTGGTTGGATGCTATTACAATGGAACACAAACACATTCAAGGAAAAAAACTCCAATATAGAAATCAATCAAACCCATAAAATATCGATAAATTTACCTGAATATCTGATCGTCACTTATGATAACGCTAGAAGAAAGAGGAAGAGTTATCTTCTGCCTGTTTGTCTTTATGTTTATGGTTTCTCGATTAAGAGTACTATATATAGTGAACGGTGGAAAAACACTTGATATTTAAATTAGTATCGACACAAACTAAAAAGTATCGACACATTATTTAGACATATTCTCTCATAAAACCGGTATACTTGTACCGGTTAGATTGAAAAAGTACATATTACATTATACTTTTGGGTTCGATGTTTTTGGGATCGACACTTTATGGTTGCACCCTGTTTTCCATTCATTCTGGACCAAAAATATCGACACAAACTAAAAAAGTGTCGACACATTATTTATACATATTCTCTCATAAACCGGTATACTTGTACCGGTTAGATTGAAATTACATATTACATTATACTTTTGGGTTCGATTTTTTGGGATCGACACTTTTTATATATGGATCAACACTTTATGGTTGCACCCTGTTTTCCATTCATTCTGGACCAAAAATATCGATACAAACTAAAAAAGTGTCGACACATTATTTAGACATATTCTCTCATAAAACCGGTAAACTTGTACTGGTTAGATTGAAAAATTACATATTACATTATACTTTTGGGTTCGATGTTTTTGGGATCGACACTTTTTATATATGGATCGACACTTTATGGTTGCACCCTGTTTTCCATTCATTCTGGACCAAAAATATCGACACAAACTAAAAAGTGTCGACACATTATTTAGACATATTCTCTCATAAAACCGGTAAACTTGTACCGGTTAGATTGAAAAATTACATATTACATTATACTTTTGGGTTTCGATGTTTTTGGGATCGACACTTTTTATACATGGATCGACACTTTATGGTTGCACCCTGTTTTCCATTCATTCTGGACCAAAAATATCGACACAAACTAAAAAAGTGTCGACACATTATTTAGACATATTATCTCATAAAACCGGTATACTTGTACCGGTTAGATTGAAAAATTACATATTACATTATACTTTTGGGTTTCGATGTTTTTGGGATCGACACTTTTTATATATGGTTCGACACTTTATGGTTGCACCCTGTTGGCCATATTGTAAATTTGCCTTTTACTTCAAAGTATTAACATGACCCTTAATGTGTATAAGAAACATGTACAACAACATACTGCTAACTTTTCTCATCTCATTCATAATTATATTCACATACAAAAATATAAATCGTATACAAAATTATAAATCTTATACAAAATTAACCCTACATTTACATCATTGCATCCTTTTGTTATTCTTATGTAATATGGCAGCTTTTGTTATCTCCTGTCTTCGTTCATTTTGATTGTGGCTTACGAGATCGTTTAATATTCGCGATCGATCCCAGTCTCCAACAACCTATATTCAAATTGTCAGAACGTTAAGTATTGTCAACTACAGCATTCAATCTATGACTTTTAACAATTTTACCACAAACGAATTTTTCTATCCACTTACAAAATCACCAGTTGCCCCTGTTGAACCGATCGATTCCATCCACATCATCACACACATGCCGCAATCATGTCTGTTACAAAATTTGAAAACCACACAAGTCAATTATGATGAATACTGCATAAATTAAGCTTTCTATTTGTGATAACATCTCATACCCATTCAATTGCTTATTCTTCTTATGCTCCACAAATTTGAAATTTTTCAAGGGATACTTTCCTAGAGATCCACAGGATTCAACCCAAATGCGTTTCTTATTATAAGAATCTAATATTTTAATCTGTATTAAAATAGAAGAAGTTATGCACCAAAAAAATTATGCATTATAATTTACATAATGTCCTTTCATACATACATACATACCAATCTCTTAGCATCCTTCACTCTCTGTTTAGCTGCTTCAGTTGTAAACATACTATCATATATTGTTGCAACACGATCTACCATATCCAACACCAACATATACCAATGTGAATTATGGTAGTTTATTGTGATCATGATCTGCAACAAATTTCACACCCAATTTGACAAAATTCAACATTCTATATCCGAAAACATCATTTGCAATTGGTATGGTGTCTTACCTTCTCACAGTCGGTGAATTTCACATAGTTATTCAGTATGGGACCCCAGAAGCTAGCAATACCCTCAACACTTTCTTTGCTGTTGGCATCCAACGCCTGCTGCTGCAATTACGCAACAAACATTATTAATTTACCGTCTATAAAACTACTTATCTCCATTTATTAATTTAATTCACCGCTAAGTGGTATGGAAGGTAGCCAATCCTCCGGAGTGACTTCTGAGAATCGTAGCATACTGTCTAGGCGAGCAAATCAATAACCTAACAAAATTAATTACACAATCAGAACATATTCAATAAGTTTTAACATTTTCTACTTTCTACTTACCACACCGCTAACCCATTCCGTAGGCTTCAACGTTGCAACGTCGTATACACTAGCGAATTGATTTCCCATTGATATTACAGAATATCTGTATGAATCATTAGGATTAATATGTTGTCATGAAATATTTAAATATAACTCACAAAGCAATATATTTCACTTACTCCGATTCTAACTCGCTATTCCATAAATAATCACAAATTGCAGCTTCGATGTCATCAATTCCGCTTGGAATATCCACTTTTTCAACCTACAATTTTGCATACAAATTTTTGTCACAACAACATAATAAAAATCAAATTAAGTTTTCTTTTATTCAACTTACCTTCTGCTTCTTCTTCTGGGGTGCAGGACATTCCGAATCCAAATCTACTGCTATAACACTCTCCGGTGTATAAATGACATCGACTTCCTTCCTCCTCATTTCTTCCATCTCTTCTTCTTCCTCCTCCCTCTTTTCTTCTTCGTATTTTTCAGTTCATCGTATTTTTTTCTACATAGCTCTTTATCTCTTTTATTTCACCCTTCAATTGATCCCTTCATCCAAGTATTTATCAACCACCCCCTTCACCCCCGTAAGTTCACTCCTCAATTCCACAACCTCCTCACCACTCCCTCAAATTTTCACCCGTCACCATCTTAATATCACCCTTAACACTCCAACTTCTTTCACCACTTCACCCCTCAACACCTCTACTTCTTTCACCACTCCATCTATTTTCCTTCCACTACCCCCTTATGCCTCTCAAGTGTATCTTCGACTCTCTCAAGTTTCTCTTCGACTCTTGATTGTCTTTGCATGATTTCAAATTGGATTTTTTTGATATCAGCCAATTCAGACATCAAAATGTCGAAGTTACTATGTTTTCCCTCACCGTCGTCCTACTCACCGTCATCCCCCAATACAACCATCCCTCCTTTATTCTCCTCTGCCTCCACTGCCTCCTCTACATCCTTGCCAATAACCTTCAAAAATAAATTACAATATTAAGACATTGATTATATTCTTAATATTATTTAATTACATTTATTACCCTTTCTTGCTTCTTCGCTCTATCCAACTTCAACTTCACCATCACTCTAACCACCTCTTCCTTCCCCCATGCACGGATGCGTGCCACTCCGGTTCTTTCATAAGCCGGCACTGCCTCACAGCCCGACCAAAAATCGAACAGTGCAACCTGCATTTATAATAAAATTTATATTTTTATATAAAAACACAAAAAAGTTCTTCAACTCATTTACCTCTAAGATTGCTATGCACCCTTTGAGGTATCTCTGGCTGCCCTTTTTAAAGGTGATTATTGATTCAATCAATCTCGAATGGATATATTCAGCCCTTATATTAAAGTACCGACACTTTAAATGTATCCGGTAGCGCTTTACCGGTTTTATCATTTCTATACCGGTTTTGTCATAGTTTTACCTGTTATATCGTTTTGGATCGACACATTTTTAATTTGGATCGACACGAACCGGTAGCACAATTTTTTAATATTTCTTCATGACTTAGACATACTTTTATAAGTATGGACACTTTTATAAAAATGATATATACTTTTTTTAAAGTTATGTAATTTATGTTTCAATTATTTTTAATAGTGTTTCATGTTTTCCACCTACAATATTAATTTAATAATTTCATTTACACAAAAAATTATTTGATTATTTGATATTTTATAAAATATTATTTAGAATTTAAATTTAACAATATTAACCAAATATAATAATAAATATGTTTTCCACAGTGAAATAAGTATGGACACTTTTATAAAAATGATATATACTTTTTTTAAAGTTATGTAATTTATGTTTCAATTTTTTTAATAGTGTTTCATGTTTTCCACATACAATATTAATTTAATAATTTCATTTACACAAAAAATTATTTGATTGTTTTGATATTTATAAAATATTATTTAGAATTTAAATTTAACAATATTAACCAAAGATAATAATAAATATATTTTCACAGTGAAATAAGTATGAACACTTTTATAAAAAGGATAGATACTTTACAATATAACAGGTAAAAATATGACAAAAGTATGTTTCATTATGACAAAACCGGTAAAATTTACTTGATATGTTAAAAGTATGGACACTTTTATAAAAATGATAGATACTTACCGATAACCAAAGTTTACCAGTTACCAAATTTTTTAATAGTTTTTCATATTTTCTACCTAAAACATTATTAGTTATCAACATAATAGGTATCGCTAAACCGAATTTATTAAATACATTTTAATGTATCCGGTAATACCGTATATTAACTGTATATTAACCCGCCTTTCCTGAGACAATCCCGTAATCTTATATTTCTGCTAAACGAAATAAATATAAAATATAACATTCTCAGTAATCTTATTCCTATCGATAATCCTATTATCACAAATAATCTTATGTTATGTAAACCAAACGCAACCTTAAGCACTTCTTTTCGAAAGCTTTTAATTTTAATTTATTGACTTCATTGCGCGGTGAATTGTGTTCTGCACAAGTAGTTTCTTGGGAACAAAACTTGTAGGGTGGTCCTACCACCTAAAATTTCAGAGAGAATGATCACAACCGTTGATGTGATCATTAAAATACCCGATGACGTGCGATGATTGTTTAACTTGGGAGGTTCCTAATTCTCTCTCCTGCACCTGCACGCATGGGACCGCAACACTACTGTAGATCTGAACACCGAGAATTATGAAATCCATTCAGGACCTACAAATTGGGCAA